TTGTAATCCACATTGAAAGGTTGAAAATCTAGAATCTAGATCTTATGTTACAAGAAAATAGAAACCAATATTAATTGACTCTTATTGTTTAATTAAATCTACTTTGCACTTAGGTAGTACATATGTACATCAATTATAAATTATAATTAAAAATTTTAGCTATACCAACTTGAAATAGTGGCAGTGGTAGCACAGTGGTAACGCACTCGCTTGGGAAACCGAGTGAAGCGGTTTCGATCCGAGTCTCGAACCTCTGATATTTTCTTGTGCGAATAATTTCCAACATGATTACTACTTGTCTTATGGTGAAGGAAACATCGTGAGGAAACTTGCATTTCGGAGAAAACCCAGTAAGTTTTGGAAAGACATGTGAAGCCCGCCAACCCGCACTTGGCCAGGGTGTTGGACTAAAACCGGATCCTCCTCGATCGGAGAAGATGAGGAAAGAGATATTGAAGGGAGATCCGTGCCCAGCAGTGAGACGTTAAAAACGGCTTTAATACAATTTGAAGTGGAAAATAATTATATTAAATTAACTACTTATTTTACTTATTATAATATCCATACTCCTCAGATCTCTCAGATACAGTTTGTTCTGTATTTTAAGGCGAGATGAGGTATACTCATGAATCTGTATATTCAATGAAACTAATTAAAATGCATGTATCGGCTCAAATACTCTGACGGGCACTTTATGCTAACCTTAACAAATAGGTCAGCGTATCAAAGCGCTAGTGGAAACGTTATATTATTGGTAACCAAACTTTAATTTATGAGGCTCTATAAAACAAGTGTTTTTTCTCAATATCACATGTTTTGCAATTTTTTTTGAATAAATTACTCCCCAACTTTTTTTTCTAGGCATGTAAAAGTAAAATATGCATTGTTCATTTAAAAATAAATGATTAAAACGGTCAAGTGTGAGTCGAATTCACACACGAAGGGTTCCGTATCATCGTACGTGTACTTTTTATTAAATGACTTTTAGTCTATGTATGTAGTATATTAACTTCGATGATCGATTACGAAAAATGCTTCTTATTTTTTTATTATTCGTTGTTATAACGGCAACAGAAACACATACCTACTTTATGAAAATTTCAATTCTCTAACTACCGGTTCATGAGATACAGCCGTCTGACAGGTCAATAAGGTTCTGTTGGCAATTTTTTTTAATAAAAACTTTTTAACAAATAAATTAAAACCGACTTCAAACAAAAGCACTAAAAAGTAAAAAATAACTGATTGGTAGTTTTTATTTACTATACATACCTAATCAAATATATTCGAAGTCGGTGTGCTTTGCTTTGTATGGGCTGGCACCGATTTCGAAAATATTTGATTAGGTATGTATTTAATAGGTAGGCTTTAATTACTTAGCCAAAGCACACCGACTTCGCAAAATATTTGATTAGGTATTTATAGTAAATGAAAACTACCAATCAGTTATTTTTTACTTTTTAGTGCTTTTGTTTGAAGTCGGTTTTTATTTTTTTGTTAAAAAGTTTTTATTTTTCCCTTTTTAGTGTACACAGTAGTAGCGAAGTAAGAATTCTAACGTGTTAGGCTTGTCAAATCAAACAAAATAACCCCAAACTCGAAGTATCTACTATTAGCCGTTGAAGAGTTCCACCTATCCACCTCTGGCCTTACCATCAGATCGGTCAATAATACCGAACCACTGTACTATCAACGGAAATAGAAACACTTGCAAATTTAAAGTTAATATGACAATTAGAAGTAGGTCAAATTCATCATTAGCTGTTTTTCTACCCTTAGGGGTGGTATTTTTTTTTTGAAATTTAAATGGGACCAATCTGGAAGTATAACCTTTCAAACAACACAAAAATTGTCCAAATCGGTTAATAAATGACGGAGTTCTGAGGTAACAAACATAAAAAAAAAACATACAGTCGAATTGAGAACCTCCTCCTTTTTGAAGTCGGTTGAAAACCCGGAAAACGATTTGGAAACGACCAAAAGGCGATGCCGTTCGTCCTGCATGTCTGAAGGAACTCAGCAAGTTTTCAAAAGACATGTGCATTGTGCAGTCCGCCCCGCACTTGTCCAGCGTGGTAGCCTATGGCCTGATCCCCCTCGTATTGAAGGGCGGTCCGTACCCAGCTTTGGGACGTTAAAAAGGGCTGAATACATATTAAAATCATAAATGAAAAGAATTAATTCTTATTAATTAATACTTTGTAGGTTTCCATTCGGTGGACTTCAGCCATATTAAACGTAGACTATTATGATATACATTCTTTTATTTATCTTTTAAGTAAATAACGAGCTCCAGCTGCACAAATAATAAGATGGATATCAAATAACGTGATTCATTACAAAAGTAATCAATCGTTAACTAAACATAGATTAGTTTCTATGTACCTACATATACATACCAAGCCCAATATGTAGTGTAAGAAGATATTTGTATACCTTTCTAATAAAACATTAAAATGAGTAAGCGTGTTTGTTGCTTTATATTTCTTCAAGTCTATGACATCTCCTCGCACAAGTTACAATGAGTTTTGCGAAAGTGTCAGTACTAAAAACGTCCAGACTAGACATAATGTACGTCACTAGTATTATATACAGTTAATTTTAAAACACAAAACTTTACATAACTAAAAATATTTACACAAAACAACAGCTTTTACCAATTTATCTGGTGTCTCGATATCAGTCATATCATCATCTCCCTGCCCGTTTCCCAAATTACTTGTAGTCGGTGCAGTACGTCCAACTCCATACTGCATATTGGTTTTGGCTAAAGTTTTCCGACCGGCCGCCTGCCTGACGTCAACCCTCTTTGGGAATGCTGTTGTTCGCCCGCCATCGAGCGAGGGGCTCAAGATGCGATATCCTTATATGACACCATCACGACAACAGAGTGCTACATGGCTTCACTTGTACTACACTGTATATGGATATTTATATATATATATATATATATATATATATATATATATATATATATATATAGAATATATGAAAATTTTGCATACCTTCTATATAGTAGGTATGTAGTAAAATAAAATTGTAACTGAGTTCAATGTGTACATTAAATATATTTTGGAAAATCTTAACGAAATAGTCATTATTATCGACACAGAGGTCGAATCTATAGTTTTTAGAATTTTTGTCTGTCTGTCTGTGACCGCATCACGAAAAAAACCACTGAACAGATTTTGATGAAATTTGGTATGATGATAGCTGGTTATCCGGGTCAACATATAGGATACTTTTTACTGCGGGAAAATATCTCATCTCTGAGAAATCTATACTAAAAGTGCCTCGTTACGTTTTACGTAACTAGGGACGAACCCGAACGGAGCGAGGATGAGTCGATAGTTTTTTAATAAAAATAATAATCAAACGTTAAATTATAGAAATATAATATAATAATAAGAGCTAGGTATACTGACATATATATATGTATATTGACATATTACTAGTTAGGTAAAATATTACTCTTGGAAATAAAGTCGGATCTGACAGTTAGTTCGACTTAAATTGTTTTTAAATCATGCCTTATCTTACTTAAAGTAACATGTGACAAACAGATAACATCAATTCTTTTGTTCCATTGTGTGATTGTTTCTTAACCAGAGATAAAATAAACTACGATTTCAATCGTGACCATTCTCCTATTGATCAAGCGTCAACAATATAATAAATAAATTTAGTAAAACTGCACTGAGCTTCTCCTTTGAACATTAAATTTATGAAGCCGAAAAATAAAATTTAATTTTTGATATATAAAGGTAATAATTATTAAGTTAGTTATTTAAGGATAACTGAAAGTGTGTATAAATATAAAATAATTTGGCATTTTACAGTTATATGTAATTCTATTTAATTTTTGTCATGATAGCTTGGCGATGAATGGTTACTGGAAGTTAGTTCCTAGTTCTTACGTATTTATACGTCTAACGAAGAAGAAGTAGTATATGTATTTACTTTTTAACCAATAAAGATACTGATTAAAATCACTTAAAAATATTCGCTATGAAAAAATATATGAAAAGAATTAATTATAAAAATCCATTAAAAAAATACAGAAGCATTGAATCTTTCTCATCCTTTCCTCATTTTTAAAGTCGGTTAAAAATCTCGGTGTATAATGCTTCGTAGTTCGAAGCCCATTACCTATCTCTAAGAGATCGTGTAGGTATTGTTTAATCTATTACTGAAAAAAAATTAGTAGGCCTAATTATCTTATCATTATTACGTAATATTTTGGAGACATTCGAAGTAATACGATCAAGTATGATTCATTTAGAATGTGGCGGTTCATTGAAATTCTCAAAAACTGAGTAATGCGTTACTGGTTGCAAGAAATAATCTAGAAATTATTTATGTTAAAATGTTATATAGTTTTCCCTGTCACAGTAAAGAAGATAAGATATTTTTTGATAATTTTTAGAATAGTCTTTTAATGTAATTCATTTCATTCATTCATTTCTTTTAATTTAATTAAGATGTAAATATTCAATTTTAAACTTTCAATGCTGTATTGATATTAATTTATAATCTTAAATAGTATATGACCCAATTCTGTTATTTTAAAGCTCAATTCATTATACCACATACGTCTGTAATGGCACTTGCATAAGTGCAATCAAGAAATATTTTATTTAGTTAAGTATATGCTAACGAAGCACCGGGTCAAGCACTTTAAACAAACACAATACACTGCTTATTCAACAAGGAAAAGTGTGTCATAATTAATGTAATGTAATATCTGTAGTGCTATTTTGATGTCATTATTACATTGTTTGTTGCTTTTCACGTTTATTTTATCCTTCACGTTGAAACGGTTAGACCGATTTGGATGATATTTAGAACAAAGATAGGCGACCTGGCATAACACAGAGGCTATTTTTAAGCAAATAAGGACGCACCCGAGTGAAACCAGGGAATCTCTAGCATATAATAAACTACATGATAATAATAATTGTTATTATTATGAGAAAAAAAAACAAAATATGAAAACCCACCCCAGAGGGCGTTCATTAGCATCCATCCTGTCAGAGCGTCTCTTCTTGCAAGTATTACAACTGAGGGTTGGAGCACCTTCTTCCCACACTCCGCCCTTCCAGAACACGAGTCTACCTTCTTCGTCCATGAGGGCTCATCATCAGATCATCTTGATGCATCTCGTCAAAACTGAACAAGAATTTGACGTGTGGGTGGGTGGGAATCCAAAAATACTTCACATTCTAACCCCGATACACTGAGCACAGTACACAGTTAGTTAACACTGCGAAATATTACTCTTTATGAAGAGGCTAGTATATGAATTTTTCGCAATAAATAATTAATGTACAATTTACGTAACGCACGTCCGCTGTAAAGATTCAAAACCGATTAACAAAAGTTAAATCCCAAAATAAACCCGTATCCTTTCCAAGTCATAATAACCGGTCGCACGATCGAGCACCGAACGAGCGTCCCTTACGCCGCGCCGTCTCTCCGCAGACTGCACCGCTCCCGCCAAAACTTGACTTTGAAAATATATGAAAATATATTTTCAATACATATCTCCTTGTTGCTGAGCATCTCAATAATGTCAGTCAGGTGAAAAGAGCATTTAAGTGTACGATGGCTTATTACTAATAATAGATACAAAGACTAATTTTGTCAATTCCTAAAATATGTTACACTAGCAACTCACTCTCGCTTCGCTCAGGTTCGTCCCTAGGTACGTTTTGACGCTTAGTATATATTTTTTCGTATTTTTTTTTCTATGTTTAAATAGTTATTCTGCTATTCGGGGTGAAGACAAATCCAACAAAACAAAAATTATAAAATTCGGTCCAGTCGTTCTCGAGTTATAAGTGTTGTAACGAACCCGACTTCGTTTTATATTATTGATAGATATAAGTGTAATTGAGTTGAATGGTTCATCATCAACAATAAGAAGGAAATATTCTGACAATAATATTTGTACGCCATGTAATATATACAGATTATATGATAGCGAAATGAAACATATATGTTGACATTCAGGCCGATATCAAAATAAATACGTAAACTTTTCCTACATATGTGTCGTTATATAAATCTAATAATGAGTGATGTTTTTTACCACGGAATATGTCACGAGCGTGACGGGAGACGAGTGGGCGGCGCAGATAAATAAAACAGCGTGTTGGTCCATCTATAAATACAAATGTATACGATACATCGACTCGACACGATGACCTTTTTATTGGCAAGCCTGTTGATACCCCCACTATTGACTCGGGATTAACCTACTCTGCGATGCTAGGATATGGATAGGCCTTGCATAAACGTAAATACGCTCTTGATACGTATTGTTCAGTTGCTTTACGTAGTTTAGGTCATAAGTCAGCAAAGTAATATGAATGCATCAATTAATTTAGGTTGAAGTACCGTAAAAGAGTCTTAGTACCGCAAGTATTTATTATATTATGTTTCATTGTAGAAATACTGATACAATAGCAAATAAACATGTGAATTCTCACATGGACATTCCAATGTTATGAGAATTGTAGCAGAGCAAAGAAAACAAAGAGAAAAATGTTTTATGGAGACGTTAGCCATTCTTAGCGTGCCTACAGTTAGAAGATATTCTTAGAATCAGATGGTTACACAAAAAAGTATATTATATCTGAGTTTTAACTGAGTCGAATTGATTGGATGATTAAAAGTTGATTTTTCAATCAAACAAAACAGATAGATCAAATCTAATACAAATATTATAAAGAGGTTAAGTTTGTAAGTTTGTGAGTTTGTGGAACTACTGAACTGATTTAGATGAAATTTGATAAGAATATAGTTTACTTGGGAAGGACAGTTCAGGGCAGTTGACAAGGATAGTGTATCTAGAAACTAGGGTGATTCGCTAGTAAATTATAATTTTACGCGACGTAAAAGTGAAACTTTGTTTATTCTCTGTCTGTAGGTACTAAATGTCATTTCAATTTGTTTATATTATAGTCTGACTAATACAAATAACTAGTTCGTTATGAATTTTAATAGAAAACTCGTGGCCATAAAACAACAGATGCAGACCGTCACTAAGCATTCCTAGATAGGTCGAACTAAATCTGACATCAGAGAACGTCTTGTCATAAATAACGGGGTCGTGAGAAAGGACCGCCGGGATCTAGAATTTATCTTTAGTTGTCAAGAAACCACGATGTAATGTTGACGCATCTGTGTTTCCGTTGATGATATTTTTGCAAGCAATCTACCGAACGTTGAACCTATTTGTCGAGAGTTATACCTGTACCGAGAAACAAATAAACATAGACGGCCTTAATACAAAAGCATAGAGATTGGTGTAGCATTTTGTTCTACAAATTTCAAGCCAATTCGTTTTGCGAACATGCTTTTAATGGATTTAATTAATTATCCTCCATTAATCATAAGTTAACCTTGAAGTCATTTGTGTGTAACAAAATATAGATAGAACTTATAGATACGAAAATAGTACGCAACATTTAAGACTTTCAAGTTTCATTTTGTTTCTTTATATCAGACTAGCAGAACCCGCGGCTTTACCCGCGTTCAAAGTATAAATAACAGAGTCTTCTTTCCCTTCCCTTTACAACAATGTATGGATGTCTGCCCGATTTCTTGACATTTATTATTACTGCTCCGCTACCTTGGGTAGTAACATTATGATATGTAGCCTACAGCCTTCCTGAATAAACGGACTATCTAATGCAAAAACAATTTTTCAAATCAGATTAGTAGTTCCTGAGATTAGTGGGTTCAAACAAACAAATAAACAAAGAAACAAACAAACTACCTCTACATAATATTAGTATAGATTTAAAGGCACATTTTTACCAAATAGAGCTAGCCACAAATAAAATTAAAGCATAAAAAAATCTATTTCCGAGTTAAAAAATGTCATAATTATACTGATGTTGAAAAAGCACAAAATGTATAGGTGGAAAGAGTGCAATCGGGACAGGTCAGCCTAGATCGACGACCCAGAATCTGGGAACACGATCAAGCTAGCCCACGCGTTTCGCAACCAATGATTTGAGCTTTATCAATGACAATACTGTTTATTACCTGGTTTCAGCTAAACGTGGGTGATATTTTTGTTAAACGTTTTATCATTTTACTTTATAGCTATTCCGTTAAAAGTTTTAGAACTTGCCTGGAGATAGCCTCAATCTAGTCTACATAAATAAATATTAAGTGATCGTCAGAAAATACGAAATAGCTCTTTATTCCAATCATGAGCTTTAAGCTTTAGCTTTACAGCTTTAAGGAAAAACGATGGGCATCCCAATTAAATCTGTTTCGCATTCCGCAAGTAAGCACACACAAATAGCATGACGAACATTCTGAGAATTATAGTTGTGTTATTTCTGCATCAAAAATAGACATAGAAGACACAGTTTCTTTTGTATACATATTGATTATCAAAATGTTAAGATTAAATGCAAAGTACATCGGAAGTATAATTTAATATTATTTCTTTCACGGCCATTCAGCAATACAGGTCAAACAGTACCCCAGTGGAACAATGGCCTCTAGCTCGTAATAGTCGCATCCGCATTGACTCACATTGAATGCCTTAGAACAATCGATGCACTAAAAAGGAGCCCGAATATAATCAATAAGAAGCCTCCGTATGAACTTCGAGTGCAGGTTTATAAAGAATTTAGTATTATGAATACCAAAGATACCAAGTACAAAGGTTGTTTTCCTTCAAAGCAGCAAAGGTTCGACGTGATTTTAGATATATATAGTTTATAGACTGGAGAGCTATTATAATTTTATGTCAGTATCTCAAGTGGATTTCGTTGAATACTTATTAGTCTGCTGAAAATATTGTATTAAGTACTAAGAAAGTGTTAAACAAAGTCAGTACAATCCTCCTTAGACGTGTCAACGCGAACAATTTGAGTTAAGACTATATGATTAAGATTATAATGTATGAGTAATTCTCTATACTGCCACTAGGCTAGGGATTACTTGTAGTGTAAACTGTTGCACGGTGCACCTGGTGTTATATCAAACATTCATAGAATTGCATAATAGTTGCAACTATAATGACTTTTTAATAAATAATAAGGCACCTTTATACTGAGAGATAATTTTCAGGATTTAGCCACAACATGGTCTAAACTCAAAACCATTAACATCTCCAGGTAAATTTCTAATAAATTAATTAAAATTCTAAGAAATCTATTGTTAACTGGCACGCCGGCGTGACCGCGGTCGTGGAAGGAATAAACATTTAATATGTTTATACCATGCAAAATGTTTCGGATACATCTTATCACTGAAGAGGAACATGTTGCCGGACTTCGTTACTCTTTGGTAAATAAAAGCTCAAAAAACGGTTTTAAAACCACTGTGGAGAAAATATGCACACTGCGGGTATGCGGGCGTCAATGAAGCAAATGCATCACTCAGATTATAAATATCAGATATTAAATTCAGCAAATACCGCCTCTCATCATGGTTTTCAATCAACTAATTAAACAACTAATTAAATGAACGTACGCCATTATATAAAAAGCGCTTATAAATATTTTATATTTAAGAGGTCGAAGTCAGTCATATAATACATAGTTAACTTATGAAGTTTAGTTCATTCATAAGTGTATCGCAGTGTACACAAAGGCCAGTCCTTTTGATAAGACGTGCAAAAAATCAAAACAATGGCTCACGCTTGGCTTCCCCGCGCGGGAACTTTGCGGTCACATTCCTTAAATTATATACAACACCGCGCTCAACTTCAAAAGAATAATATTTTTTATATATGTATAAAAAACATACTCACAGAAAAACATTCACTCACCTCAAGTGCTTGTTTAGCGGATCTAATTTATGAAGGATTTTGTTAAACGCTAAGTACACTAATTAGCATTTTGCATTTTTAAATGTAAAGAGTGGAGTCAACTAATGTTATTTATGTTATAAATACATATATCTAAACAAAATATGTATATTTTGTTTCAGGTTGAGTGACCTTTCCAAGTAAAATCGAAACGAAGCCTTTCGTGTCATTCACTGAAAGGAATACTGTTCAAGCAATTGACATGTATTATCAAGAACTGGTTTCCCATAACAAACTGGAGAAAGTAAAAAAAAAATTCAAATTGAGTACAAATTGTGTTTTAATGCGTCATATTGGATATTTTTCTTAGAAACGCTTTCTTGTGTTTTTCAATTAATTTAGATTTCACGTCACATATGGTGTAAGCGTACCCGTAACCTTTGTTAAGTAAACAAGCAAATATCTAAAATGTAAGAGTATAAAAACTAAATTATTAATTAATAATAAATTAAATAACATAATGGCAGGAAGTCTACTTTGCAGTCGTTACACCTCCAGGTAAATTTCTAAGAAATAAATCAAATTTCTAAGAAATCTATTGTTAATTGTAACGCCGGCGAGTCCGCGGTCGTGGAGGGATTAAAATCGATCTTTAGATCGGCTGGTATTTTAACTTGATGCAATGTAAAGTGGACTCGTTTTCCACACTTCCCTTTTGGTCACAGTTGATTACATACAATTATTAGGAGAAAATACATATATTTTATCAAGATTATTTTTAAGCATCGTTTTTTAGAAATATAATTTGTTCTTCAAAAAATCTTTAATGCCTTTTCCAATTTAGCTACTATTATAGCAGTCTTGAAAAACATTTTTTTGAAAGCAAATATTAAAAAGAAAACTATGTAGGTATTATCTGTTATTAATAACATAATAATTTACTATCAAATGTAATGATATCGGAGGATGTGGCCGTTGTTAAAATATAAAATGCGTATTTTATTCTCACACCCTCATTTACAGTGGTAGTGAAAATCTCATAGGTATATTGTATAATTTTATTTAATTACCTAACAGCTGTATGCCGCTAAACTGGCAATTATTATCCTATATCTTTAAACAAGCAATTCTTGTAAATATATATATAATCTGAATCTCGGAAACGGCTCCAACGATTTTCATGAAATTTAGCATACGGGGTTTCGGGGGCGATAAATCGATCTAGATTAGTGTTATGTCTGAGAAAAGGCGTGTTTTCGAGTTTTCATGTAGTTTTCTTTTGTATTATTCCATGCAAAATATAGTCGGTAATTTGCATACTCTTATGTTAGCATCGTGGTCTAGCGGCCAAGGTGCCAGATCAACAATCACAGGTGTCCAAGTTCGAATCTCGGTCACATACAAAATTTTTACTTTTGTTTTTTTTTTAAATATTTATTCGAGTTTTTAGTTTAAAGAAAAAAGAAAATTGTACTTTAGGCCAAAAACTCCGAGCGAAGCTCGGTAGTCCAGGTGCTATTTCTTTAACACCTGCAGGTAAATTTCTAAGAAATTAATTAAAATTCTAAGAAATCTATTGTTAACGGACACGCTGGTGTGTCCGTGGAGGGATTAATGTCAATAAATGTCTTTGTAGGAATGTACTGGGTAAATAATTAATAGTATTTTTTTACTGAAGTACATCAAGTGTCTTGGATGTCTCTATTGCAAATGTTACCTAGTGATATATACATATGTTTAAGCAAGGTGAGAATAAATCACTATTTTGTTATATCTAAACCAACATTAAAACTACTTTATTGTATATTCTACATAGTTCATCTGATTGATGATGATTATTTTGAATTGTGAAGATTCATTATGGTGTAAGACAATGTTGACTAAGCCTAGCCTAGCTATGTTTGTTTATACATATATAAATCTGAAACGGAGGAATGTGTTTTTATAAACATTTCTGAGAAATTGTGTTTTATAAAGATTTAAATCTCTTGACATTAAAGTGCAGCTCAAAAAAAATATATTAGTAGTGTAAAAATTCCTACAACTTAAAAGATAGGTACATTGTGCAAAGTATTCGTATTAAATGTATGTATAGGTATAGCAAAAAAGGTTTTTTAGGTTTCAATAAAAATAAATTTTATATATATCTATATAATTTACTACCATAGATGTAAATATGTAGTAGCCTGAATATTATAAGTAAATGTGGCTGTTTAGTGACCTCATCAATTTCCTCCATTCTATCCTTGGATTATTGAAATCAGTGGTTTTTATTATTTCCAAGTAGAATCTTATACGGCAGAATTAAATTTTAAAGTTAATTCTGTATTGTATTAAAATATATATATCAATATTAATATATTTTAATGTAAATAATTTAATAAAAATAAAACGTTTGAGACCAAATAGGTATGATAGCTATGTAAATGAGAAGTATTTAAAATATGTCATGTGTCAAATTTCATCATTATATAAAAAAAAATATGTAGATTAGTTTATAATATATTTTGTAAGAAAATATATTTTATTTTTCGGATAATTTATTTTGCTTATTCATCTATAAAGATATATTAATTTCAGTGACATCAATCAATCTACCCCACATAAAATATAAACAACAGGACCATTCCTTATCAATTATATACGCGCCTTGATTAGACATTCAGGTAAAATTGAAACCGAAATAATTTAAAAAGAAGACCGTAAATTTAGCAATTATTAACTGATAAATTTCTTACCTTTTTGACGAATTCTCCGTCATGTTCACTGCTTCACGAATATATTGAGTAAATACATAAACAACCAGTCATTATACTATCACGTAAGCTGAATAGTATTTTATCACTTCATTATAAATTACAAGTTGACAAATATAAATTTTATAGCGGAAACGATACAATGCATCGCATGATTCGCGTGTATAAACGTATCTGTCAAAATTCACAGACAACACTTCAATCAATTGCTGTCATGAAAGCGCATTACGTTTCATTTCATGTAAACTATTTAAATTTTTATAATAAAACAAACAAGAATGTGCTATTAATAAAATAAAAGAAATACGTAAAATTATTCTATTATAATAGTCACATAATTTTCCATTATTATGTTTTCTTTCCTCTTTTTGGAATATTTAAAAATTACAAAAAGTCAATAACGTAAAAGTCATCAATGCTTATAAATTATGATAAATAATTAGGTATCAAAAAAAATTAACAGAAATTATTAGAAAGAATGGTTTGTAAACTCTTTACTTATTTAGATAATATTTTCGTTGTTAAACGAAACGTACCTTATTGGTTGCTATGGTAATCTCTCATTGATAACAAACGCATGGCCAATAGCTGAGTTCAAAATTTCTGTGTTTACTGTCAGGCTGTCAACTTATAATGCAACCGCGAAAATATATTCTTTATTGATTAAACTTTAATAGTAACTATCTGATAAATGTTAGCGTTCATAGAAGTTTCCAGAAAATATAGTAGAGATGTTTAAAAATACTTTTCAGTCCGGTTTCCTGTCCATTCTTTACAGCATAGGTAGTAAACCTTTGCAAATTTGGGACAAAAAAGTTCGAAATGGGCACATAAAAAGGATTACAGACAATGATATTCAGAGCTTAGTGCTAGAAATCGTTGGAACTAATGTCAGCACCACCTACATTACGTGCCCAGCGGATCCGAAGAAGACTCTTGGTATCAAACTTCCGTTTTTGGTTATGATTATCAAGAATCTCAAAAAATACTTTACATTTGAAGTTCAGGTATGTATCACATTTTGGTAGTAGTTTAATATAAGTATTAACTTTACAATTAAAGTTTAATTTATATAATGTGCATGTTTTTTTTAGATCAGTCTAACCTAATACATTTATTTAAAATACACTCAAATGTGATTTTGAAGTGAACAAATCTTTTCAGGTTTTAGATGACAAAAATGTACGTAGAAGATTCCGTGCAAGTAACTACCAATCAACAACTAGAGTAAAGCCTTTCATTTGTACAATGCCAATGCGATTAGATGAAGGTTGGAATCAGATTCAATTCAATCTTGCAGACTTTACAAGGAGGGCTTATGGCACTAATTATGTTGAAACATTGAGAGTACAAATACATGCAAATTGCAGAATAAGAAGGGTTTATTTCTCTGATAGATTATATTCAGAAGATGAGCTTCCGGCTGAGTTTAAACTATTCCTACCCATCCAAAATAAGACAAAAACTGCAGTTGCTACTTGAAAATCATAAAAATTTTATGTAAACTTAGTAAATGTATTTATAAGTGAATGTTTTTTTTTGTTTTTATGCTTGTAACAAATGACAACCTACACTCCTTATTATATATTTTATACATTTATATAATGTCTTACATAAAACATGATATTTTGAATTATTAAATGCACAAAATATAATATTTTGTTTCCTTTCAAATAATAAAGAAATATTTATAAAATAGGTATAAGAGAACTTATCTAAACATGAAAAATGTAATACCTATTACCTGTACTGACTATACTTCAAAGCATAATTAAAATTTTCATTTTACTGTTTGAGGAAACGAGTTAAAAGAATATGAGTTTATTATTAATTTATGATGAGTAGAAACTGTTAGTAATCTAAGAGAATTTGACAAAAAAATACTAAAAACATAAATATCTCTATTGCATTACCCGCGACTCCAACACGGGCGTGTTCAGATGACCAAAAACCAAATTCTTAGGTTTTACATATTAGTATACTCTTAGAATGCAGATTTTGTATTTTTTCTCAAAAAAAAGATATTTTCCCGCGGTAAAAATATCCTATATGATAACCAGCTATCACCATATCAAATTTCATCAAAATCCATCCAGTGGTTTTTCTGTGAATAATTATACAGAAGCAGAAAACATTCCATATCTCGCGAATTATAATCTGTGGAATGAGTATGACAATTGACAACGTCACATTAAATATAAATTATTATTATGCTATAATTACTTTTTTTTATCAGTCATGTCATCATGTGTCAAATAGTTTTTATACATGTAGAATAATGACCAAATTAATTAATTTTGCATACTTGTTTGTATTTTACTTCCTAATATTTGCACCAAAATGCTATACAAATGATATATTAGGATGTGGAGGATTCGTTAAAAGCCACGCCAGCTTGGATTTTTCTAAAATTGAAATCGGCCTGTAAGTTAACCTTAAATTTGGGACTAATGACTTACATTACTAATTAAAATTGTTTACCCTTGTGTTTATGTTTTTATATAACTGTAAAATTGTTTTATAGATATACCAAAGAAGGGAGTCTCAAAGAAAAAACTGAATGTGCACCTACTAATGGATACTACTTTTTGCCCTTGTATGAAAAGGGTGAATATATTTTGAAGATACATCCACCTGCTGGATGGAGTTTTGAGCCTTCTGAAGTAGAACTAAATATAGATGGTGAAACTGATCAATGTTCCACTGGACATGATATCAACTTTGCATTCAATGGTTTTGGTATTACTGGTAGAGTGATTACTGCAGGTCAAAAGCAAGGTCCTAGTGGGATAAATGTACAGTTAATCAATGAGAATGGGGATGTAAGGAATACAGTGACAACTGTGGGTGGTGATTTTCATTTTACCCCAGTTATTCCTGGCAAATATGTAGTAAAGGCCTCCCACTCCAAGTAAGTTATTCATCTTAATGTATAATATTATAAAATATTGTATTGACAACTAAAAAATAATAAAAAAATAAAATGTAATTATAATGCTATTTCTAAAAATGACTTGTTTATATGGCTATAAAGGTTTTATGAATTTTGTGTTGTCCTTTGTAAAAAGGAAGATATTTTATGTAAACTATTATCTATAGGTGGAAGTTAGATCCTGCTCAAACAGTAGTTCAAGTTAAAGAAGGTAATACAGCATTGCCAGCTGGATCTCTCACTGTGAAGGGATATGATGTTTCGGGATCCATTACTTCCTTTGGCAGTCCTATCAGTGGCATATATGTCTTGTTGTACTCTAAAGAGGTTTGTATACTATATGAAATAAATATAATTTAATTGATACTTGAGACTTCTGACAAAAATTTTCTTTTTCAGGAAAAACAAAAATTCAAAGTAGAAGGTTGCAAAACTGCACTTCTCCAGGGAGTTCCAGATGCGCCCATCTGTTACTCAGTAACAGATAGTGGAGGAGAGTTCCACTTTGGTCTTGTTCCAGCTGGGGAATATAATCTCCTGGCTTTGTCCAAATCACCAGGACAAGCTCATATAAGTTATAACATCAAACCAAATGGTGTACCATTCAGTGTTCAACATGATAGCCTGTATATCAAGAATGCATTTGAGGTTTGTCTATTTTATAATGATGATGATGTTCTCCTAGCCGATTCCGGCCACGGTATCTCATTGAGACTAGCCAACTACGCAGGAGATATTATAGTGCACAAGTGTACGCGCAGACACAATGTGCACTCTCTATTCCTGTCACTCTCATACTCCGGCAGGACCGACGGCTTTACGTGCTCTCCCAGGCACGGGGGTTAAACACCGCCAACTTCCCAACTCCGGGCTGTTACTGAGACTTACTATACAGAAAGACTCAATAACTAAACTTGGCCCGACCCGGGACTCGAACCCAGGACCTCCGAGTGTGCAGCCGTACATGCTAGCCACTACACCACCGAGGCAGTTAATTTAATAATGAACTAGTGACTCACCCTCGCTCTGCTCAAGTTCATCCCAAGTTATGTTTTAACATTTAGCATAGATTTCTTAGAGATGAGATATTTTCCTGCAATAAAAAGGATCCTATAAGTTGACCCAGATAACAAGCTTTCATCAACCAAATCAGCTTGTATCGATAATAATGACTATTTCAATAAAATTTTCCAAAAAATATATAATGCATAGATTCAACTCAGAATTTTATTATATATACTATATAGATTAACCAACTGTCACTGAAATTGCTTTTTAATAATATGTATGTTGTTGTTATTGAAAAAAAAAATAGATACAAAAACATTAATTATTAATTTCTTTAATAGATTAATGGATTCACAGTAATTGGGTCAGTTCTCTCAAGCCCAGCAGGTGATGGTATGTCTGGTGTTAGAGTTCTGTTGAATGGGGAGCCAGTAGCCACTTCTGATGCTAGTGGAAAATTTACATTGACTGGACTTAAACCTGCTACTTATGTTCTTAATTTTGAGCATGGTAAGAAATATGAAATTTAATTAATTATTTTAGATTTTTCTGGATGGTAAAATCTGTAACTATGTAGGATACTAAACAATGCAAATAGCTTAAAAGCTGCAATAAAATTATGTACAACTTTATTATAGAATGGAGGTATTCCTTATCTTTTCCAATTTTTGTGTTTTCATTGTCAAAATATAATGAAGTAAAATTAAGTTTGTAATTGAAACTATGTTTCAAATGCTTTTAAAGCAAACATGGTTATGGGAGAGACTAAGGTTTGTGACAATTCAAAAACTTGATTTGTGTAAACAAGTCTAGTTGCTACAAATGAAGTCTACTCACAAATTAAACATAAAAGGAGAGAAATATTTGTTGCTTTAGTGTTTTAGCGTCCAAAAATTTCATAACCAAAAATTAAAATTAAACTGCTTAATTTCAAATATGTATTGATATTCTCTAAATATTTGCATATATCTAAGAATGTACCATAATAAGGTGTTATATATAACAGTAAAAATATAGAAATATTAACTTTCTTATAATAATGTCTTTGTCAATTAATATTAACGAATTCATTTGATTTGATGATCTTAATATATTGTATTGAGCCTTTTTTAACGTCGCACTGCTGGTCATGGGCCTCACTTCGATACGAAGGGGATCGGGCCACAGTCAACCACGCTGGCTAAGCGCGGGCGATTTCACATGTGTTTTGAAAACTTGATTTTCAAAGACATGTAGATTTCCTCGCGATGTGTTTTTTCACCATAACTGCTAATCATATTGGAAATGATTCACACATGAAAATATTAGAGGCGCTTGACCCATGATTTGAACTCGCATCACTTATTTTCCAAGCGAGTGCGTTACTACTGGGCTATCACTGCCTTTTTAACAACTTGACTTTATTGAATTTCCAAAAATTCCTCATAATATTAACACAACAGACAAGAGCCAATTCGAGGAAGTGCAAGTGACAGTGACGAGCGCGGGCGTGGCGGGCGCCGTGCGCGCGGCGGCGGCGCGCTGGCGCGTGTGCGGCGCGCTAGCGCCGCCCGAGCCGCGCGCGCTCGCCGTGCTGCCCGGCGACCTCGCCGTGCTCGCGGGCCACGACGGTCAGTGCACACTCTTCATAAATATGTTGGGAAATTGGGGTATTAACACACAGCACCATCTGGTTCCATGGCTAGGCTACGAGGCTTGTGTTGTGGATACCAGAGAGTTGATATATAACTTTAAATACATACGTATTATAAATATAATACTGTTTTGGCTGTTACTTGCTAAATAACAATGTTTTACCAGTTTTCTTTATAGAATTAAATAATTAAAAATAAATTACTAAAAAAAAACTAGCAAATTCAAATTACTAATCAACACCTTTTCAGTTATTTTCTTTACTAAATTAACTAATGGAATATAAATTAAGTAAACAGATAAAGCAATAAGAATCAAACCAAAAATTATTCATTTGTTTGCTTTACAAAATCTTACATGAATTATTGCTTACTAATAACACCAGTGATTTAGCTCTTTTATTAATTGAGACTTTTCTCTTAATATAAATGACATAAAGCCATTAAAAATCACACTTATTTGGACTCTCTCTCTCTCTCTCTCTCTCTCTCCATATATATATTCTCATAATGTTTACCATATAATCAAGTGGTAATCATATAAAAAAAATATCTATGAGAACCTGTGTCACTTGACTTTACAAGCACATCAAATGATTTGAAATCAAATGCGTTTTGGTTTTAGGTAAATGGTGCACATTCCTGGCTCCCGGCACCTACACCGTTAAAGTGGAAGTTAGTGAACAAGAGCAGAGGGAAGGATTACAGTGAGTACCGCATACGTCGCGCGCCTGGAGAGGGAGCCGCGCTGACAATGATTATATACTTATCGATACTACTTTTACTAAATGTTAACCTAGTAATGCGGATCTCGTTGGTTTAGTGGCTACCATAACAGGTCCTGTGGGGTGTATTGGTGATGTTGGGTTTCAGTTTCGTATTGTGTTTAATATTTTTATTAGGTTTACATATTAAAAATATCAGTAGTATACATAATTTCGGTAACATGATACTTTTGTTGTGTTTACGTTTTCATGCAGAGAGCATCATACGGTATCTTTCCACGCGAGTATTTGAATCGTTTTATCAGTTTGAGTTTAAGGGAAAAGAATGTGTCTATGAACCTCCTGTACAGATATCTAATTTTCGTGAAATCGGTCAACAGCATGATGTTCCCCCAGGTACTTCCCCGCGTCGCGCAGCGTGGCGGTGGGCGCGGGCGGCGCGGACGGCGTGTCGTTCAGCCAGGTGCGCGCGCAGCTGCGCGGCCGCGTTACGTGCGCCGCGCCCGCGCCCTGCGCCGGCCTGCGCGTGGCGCTGCGCCCGCTCGCCGCCGACGGCCATTACGCCGGCCCGCCCAGATACGCGGACGTTAAAGGTACCATCAGCCCATTGCTGTCCACTGTTGAAAGGTCTCCCCCGATGAGCGCCGAGTGCCAACCATTCCGGTCCCGGGCAGCCCGCATCCATCCGATACTTGCCACTTTTCTTAAGTCATCAGTCCATCATGCTGCAGCGCGTCCTACACTACGCTTGCTTAAACGCAGTCTACACTTTAGCACGTTTAGTTTTGTTGACATAATTAGCATTGCCCGCGGCTCCGCCCGCGTTCAGATAACTAAAAAACAAATTCTTAGGTTTTACATATTAGTATACATTACAGTTTTTATATTTTTTGCTCAAAAATGAGACATTTTTTCGCGGTAAAAAGTACCCTATATGTTGACCCGAATAACCAGCTATCACTATACCAAATTTCATCAAATCCCTCCAGTAGTTTTTCTGCGGTAACAGACAGACAAACAGACAAAAATTCTAAAACCTATAGATTCGGCCACCGTATCTATAATAATGTTTATTTCAATAAGGTTTTCCAAAAAATATCTAATGTACAGATTCGGCTTAGTTACAATTTTATTATATGTATAGATATAATTGTTGTAATTGAAAGTCGATTTTTACTTTTAATTGCCGTATCCGTTAAAATTATGTAAAAATGTGAAATCAGAATAATAATACAGTAGTTTCTAGATCTGCAATGTAACGACGAGGTTAAGAATTCATTTATTTAATTTTTACAAGTAGTGCATTACAGTCACTCAAAAGTTCGTTATATAACTCTGTAAAACGATTTTATTTCGATTTGCAACAGTAGCTTATGCACAGTACAAAACGATTGGTTCTACTCACTTTTAATTCTTCCCGTGTGGCAGACGGGGAGTACGTGTTCGAGGAGGTGCCGCCGGGCAGCGTGGAGGTGGCGGTGGTGGGCGGCGAGGCGCGGCTGTGCTGGGCGCAGGCGGCGCACAACGTGGCCGTGGCCGAGCCGCGCCACCGCGCGCCGCCCATCGCGCTGCACGGCCTCGCGCTGCACGTCTCCTCCACGCACGACATCGAGGTCGCTAGCTTTGTTATAATAACTAATGACTCACCCTCCTTTTAACGTTTAGTATAGATTTCTCAGAGATGAGATATTTTCTGCAATAAAAAGTATCCTGTATGTTTACCCGACTAACCAGCTATCATCATACAAAATTTTATCAAAATTTGTCCAGTGATTTTCTCGTGATGCATTCACAGACAGGCAGACTGAAAGACAGAAAGACAAAACTTCTAAAAACTATAGATTCGATTTCTGTATCGATAATAATTACCACTACAAAAAGATTTCCCAAAAAATATTTAATGTACAGATTTGACTCTGTTTGAATTTTATTATATGTATAGATAATATCCTTCTGACCAATTTTGGGCATAGCGGCCAACCTCACTGAGAATAGCTGAACGGGTTTAAAAGAAGAGATAGATTATAGTCTGAAATAACACATAGGTTACTTTTATTCCAGAAAAAAATATGGTTCCCATGGGGTAGGTCTGTTTTTGTTTTTCACTAGGAACAAACCTGAAGTGGAACAAGGGTAAGTAGTTAATATTATAAATGTAAAGATATGTTTGTTTGTTTGTTTGTTTATTTTTCTTTCACATCGAAACAGGGTGACGGATTGGAGTGATTTTCTATATGAAGTTAAACGGCTGGAGAGTGACATAGATTACTTTTACCGCGGGAAATATCCCCACGGAAAAACACATTACAATTTACCCACAATAACTTATCATACCTATGTGTATATACGACTATATATAATATAGATTTCATTTATTTCGTACTAACCGTTAAAACGTACCTAAACGCTATTATATTATATATAATATTTTAGCTCCAAATAATTTACAACAACTAGAGTACAGACAGGTAGTTGAATGTAATTACTGAGTATGTTTTTTTGTTGTCGGCAGGTGGAGTACAAGAGCGGGAACATCAGCGGCGTGCTGTCGGTGCCGGCGGGGCGCAGCCGCCAGTGCGTGCCGTTGGCGCCGCGCTACGAGCTGGCGCCGCGCGGCTGCCACCGCGTGGAGCCGCGCGCCGCCGCCGTGCGCATGGACGCCGACGACGTGCCGGTGAGGCCGAGTGCGGCCCGGACTGACCGTGGCTTTTGACTATTTCATAGGTTCTTTGACACGTACAGGTTTCCTTAAGATGTTTTTCTGCACCGTAAGACAAGTAATCATATTGCAAATGGAAATGATTCGCATGTGAAAATATCAGAGTTCCGAGACTCGGAATTTGTACCCGCTTCATTCGATATCTTATGTGAGCAGGTCACTACTGGGTTACCGCTGCCTTATTGTCGTTGCAATAAATAAGTTTCTTATCGCACATTATACTCGGCACAAGTGGAATATTTCAACCTTCACGACACTTTTTATTATTTATTTTGCTCCGTGTGACGCAATCGAAAGTACCAGGCGAACATAAGTGTTAAGAAGTGTATGTAGGAAGGACGTTCGTGTGCACTCTTATGACGAGGTTCTATATATATAATGGACATTCCTAAAGATATAAAATGGTGCGTATGAGCACTCGTGACAGTTATTGTCATCAGACATTATGAGCTAAGGGCAGCTCGTAACGTGACGTCATCATTAATACCAGGCGAGCATAAGTGTTAAGGAACATAATATGTAGTAAGAAATCCGTGTGCACTCTGTGCAGAACTTTCTTCGATGAGCTTCAACATGTACAATAATTTACGATGCTTCAATTTACTCTAGTACTTTTTGCATTGCACTACCATGAATGAATTATTGTGACGTATTATGATTTCTTTTTTTTTCAGAGTGTAGAATTTGTAGCAACAGCCCACTCTAACGGTATCGTGATACACTCGCCCGAGCCCGCCACGGACGTGGTCCTGAAGATCAGCGCGGACGGCCAGGAGGAGCAGCTCGTGCCGCTGCAGCCCACTCCACGAGACGATGGATATGTGTACGAACATACACTTTATTTGGCTGAAGTGAGTATTATATGTGTATTCAGCTCTTTTTTAATGTCCCATTGTTAAGCATGGCCTGATCCCCTGCATTGAAGTGAGGCCTCAGGCGGGGGATCAGGCCATAGTGCACCACGCTGACGATCATCGGCTTGAAGATTTTTTTCGATAACTTGTTAATCATATTAGAAATGATTCGCACATGAGAATATCAGTGATAAGAGATCCGGGATTTGAAACCGCATTCGTTGGTTGCTGAAGCGAGCGCGTTTCTACTGCAATTCATAGTTGATGTAATAGACAGTTGATTATAATAATATAACCAAAATATAAAAATTCATATAGTAGGTGTTCATTCATTTCAAGGTCTTCGTTATACAACAGTAATACTTTCTTCGATTTACGCGAATATTTAACATATTAAAATGAAATTATCTTTTCACGGGAGAGACCGTGCTTGTTGTAAATCATTCGAAACGTTATAAAAATGTAATGTCGAGGTGTCCGTGTCTCCAGGGCGAGGTGGCGGTGGTGACGGCGCAGTCCAACGCGCTGCTGTTCACGCCGCGCGGCGCGCAGCGCGTGGCGGGCGGCGCCACGTGCGCGGCGCGTGCGCTCGCGCTGGCGGCCGCGCGCGCACTGACGCTGAGCGGGCGCATCGACCCGCCCGTGGCCGGCGTAGAGGTCGTGCTCGAGGGAGGTGCGCCACACTATACTTTCATTTTAGGGAGTTAAGCCCTGTTTGTCCGCACTGCGATATTTCACTGTGCCATTTTTATTCTCACGTATTGTATTCCATGATCTGAATTATACTTCTTACTTGATTTTTGTCAGTTAGATGCAGTTCTCGGCTGAGACGAATGTCTTAAAATGAATAACAGATTTTATTAATTTAGCTGATACTACGGCGGCGGCGGCAGCGTGACAGACCTATCAAAAGATGTCATGAACATTGCATTCACCCATTTACGATCTTGAGAAATCCGCACTGCGTGATTTTTTTACAGCAAATGCGGCTACTCCTATAAGATTCGATGTGTTACAGAATTGCGAGAAAAAAAAACGTGCGGGGAAATATCTTAGCGCTGATGAGATTTGACGCTACACTCGTTTACTCGAGTTAGGCTACTAAAATAAACAATAATTTAATAATTTGTGACCCCCAGGCGACGTGAAGCTGACGCAAATAACGAAGGAGGACGGCGAGTACAGGTTCGGGCCGCTGGCGGCGGACGCGCAGTACGCGGTGTCGGCGCGCAAGGAGTCGTACGCGTTCGGCGCGCGCGACGCCGCCGGCCGCATCCCCGCGCAGCGCCTCGCGCAGATACACGTGCTGCTGCTGGACGCCGGCACCGGCGAACCGCTCGATGTGAGGACAAATACTAGTTTTGAAGTAAAACTTCTTAAGAATCGTTGTGATTTGTAATTCCATGAAACGGGAATGCGACACGAGAAGAAGACGAACACAAATATATAGAATTAAGCTGGCGAGAGAATGAAACAAAATACATTGCCATGTTGCCGTGGTGACTGTTGTTATTGTCTGACAAATATATAATATTAAGTTTTATTTTTACCATAATGTGAATTGGCACAGACACGCACTTTTTTTTGACTCCCTATTAATGAGGTGGCAGTTTTACTGAAACAGACCACACAATCAAGAAGTTGCTCCCACAGTCACTCTGCTGAGTCGAACAACTATTTTATAGTCCTTTATTGTATTAATGCGTCTATATAAAGTATATGTAGATGGATGTAGGTAGATGGATTTTTAATTTTTGTAATGTTTTATATATTTGGTAGTTTTTATTTTATTTTTTTGTTGTTGATATATAACTAAATACAATAATATGATCAGTGTCAATAACAATAGTCACGCCTCGGTATGTCTGTCTGAGCTGTTTCAACGTGAAGAGGGAAATACATAGACATATGTATGAATGCCTGTAATAAATAAAACAGTAGTGTACTCGTAATTAAAATGTAATAAAATGTATTTTACAAAAAACGTCGCATATGGCAGGGCGCGCTCGTGTCGGTGAGCGGCGGCGCGTTCCGGCGCAACGTGGCGGCGGGCGGCGGGCGCGCGCGCTTCGCGGCGCTGCAGCCCGCGCACTACTACGTCAAGCCCAACATGAAGGAGTTCCGCTTCGAGCCGCCGCACGCCCTGCGCGCCGTCGCCGAGGGCGGCGACTACACCGAGACCTTCAAGTGAGATCACTTTTATTGTGTGGGGTGCCATCCAAATTTTTTTTGTTATTTAATTACAGAAACGTTTAGCGTTACAGAAATATATCTAATAGTGTTTGAATAAATTGGCAGTGATATAAAAAATGACGTATAACAGATATGGTAAAATTTTAGGGTATTATTTTACCCTTTACTCTTTTGGCTCCGGAATCCTAAAAAGTAAAAAAAACTGTAATATTGACATATATATTTCCTATGATGTAATACTTACATAATATATATATCCTATATGGTATGACACAGAGGCGTGCGCGTGGCGTGGTCGGTGTTCGGGCGCGTGGTGTCGCTGAGCGGCGCGGGCGCGGCGCGCGTGGCCCTGCGGGCGCGCCCGGCGCCCTCGGCCTCCGCCCCGCCCGCCGCCTGCCCGCAGCAGGACGCCACCGCCGACCAGAATGGGGACTTTAGGTACAGTGATATGTTCTACTGACCGACTTCGGCCACGGCGGCCAATCTCACTGAGATTACGCGGGAGGTATTATAGAGCAGCGTATGTGTATATGCATAGACACAACTACACTCTCCATTCCTGTGATTCTCGTGTATCCAATGGGATGACACTTCGACACTCAAGATGAGAGGCGGCTCAGGAGCGACGCGACACGTGAGAGTCGAAACAGGGGCGTGAAACATTTTATGCTCCTACAGCCTACTGTTTTTTTAGTCCAGTAATGGTGATAGTGCAAGTAAAATAGGGACTTTAGGTATAGTAATCATATTTTCATACATTCTTCATGCCTTATTATATTATGCTCCTGCTCATTCTCGTGCTAGCCTAGTAATCTTGATTGCTTATTATGAGCAAATGAAGACTTATATCGTACTCTTTCCTACCCTCCTCGTACATTATGTTAGCTTAGTAATGGTCAGCAGGATTCACAGTTTAAAATCTTAATATCTTTTCGTCGTATTGCCGCTAGCCTGGTACAGACAAACACTCCTCCAGCTTTATAATTCTAGTACAACCCGCTGTAGGGAGACAGCGTGTGGTGGTTTTAAGTGCCACAGAATTTTGCTCTTGCTGCTTCATGTTAGCTTGGTGGTTATGATTGAGCAGGCAAAATGATTATGGTGTCATGGTGGAGCTGGTAGAGGTGTCTGGTGACTGAATAGTCAATACGCCCCACCCTTCTGTACTTTTATACTCATTTATATGACCTTATGCGAATTTGGTCACATAAGTGGGAATACCCAGCGGAAATGTATTGGAATTGTTTGACGACACCTTTGGCTCAGTTTGTGGTGACCCTACTTGCTGTGCCAGCGGTGGTGGTTTCCAGTCCCGCTGGGGGCATTCATTTGTGTGATGACGAATGTTTGTATTTTAGTCATGAGTGTTTATATTTATAATTTATGTATGTGTTTTAAGTTATATATGTGTAGTGTATCAACTATCTGGTATCCATAACACAAGCCTCGTAGCTTACCATGGAACAAGATGGCGCTATGTGTTAATGTCCTAACATATTTATTATTAATAAAAACGATTAGTGGAATCAGTACGTGATACTGGTAAAAATTTTTACATCATTGTGAAACTTTGAAATTGACACTTGTGAAAATTTAAGGTTTCTCCCATAATTAACTTCTAAAACGTTTATAGAACCTTTAGATTTATATTTTACTAGCTTCTTATTTTGGCAAAATAAACTGGAAAAGCGCAACGCTTGCTTTTAAAGGAATTTTAAATAATATTATTACCTATAACTACTGCAGAATACGCGGTCTGCTACCGAACTGCGTGTACCAGATTGAGCTGAAGGAGTCCTCGGAGCCCGAGCTGGCCGGCATGGAGCTCGCGAAGGCACCGCCACTCATCGAAGTACGATATTTATTTTATTTAAAACTATATAATTTGAATAACATACTAGATTTCTAGTATCTGTTTTAAATATACTTATATTTTTAAGCATTTTTATTTTACTAAAATTAAACGTAACTCATATAATTTTATAATTGAAAAAAAATTGTGCTGTTTCTTATAACTTCCAGCTATTTTGAGATAGTAGAAAAATTTATATAATATAATGTTATATGCTTCTTGCTTAGTTATTTTTTTCTATTTTTTATATAAATTTAATAATTTACATGCTAATATAATTTCCAAGGCGTTAAAAATGCTTATTAATAATAGTTTTCCCCCGTGTGTAAAAAACCTGTATTCATTTTGGATATACGATATCGCAATTTTTAACGAATAGCCTTAAACGTACACCACTATATTTGTCGATGCACACATTACAGATGAAAGAGGAGGACGTGCGCGGGCTGCGGCTGGTGGCGGTGCAGGGCGCGCGTGCGACCGACGGCGGCGTGGTGGTGCGCGCGCCGCCCGAGCACGCCGCCGCGCTGCGCGTGCGCCTGGCCGGCGTGCTCACCGCGCGGCTGCCGCGCCCGGTACGCTACTAAATCGATATTTTTCACTAATTAATATCGATTCATGAATCGAAAAAAAATAACTAATCGATAATTTTATCGATTTTCAATATTTATTTCAGGATATCAAATTCTTATATTATTAATATTTTTTTATCATACCTAAGCATACCGATGCTTAATTTGAACATAAACAAATACTGTTCATAATCTATGACCTTCATCTAATGTGTGTCATTGTGTGTGTCATCGATTGTAAGGACGAGAGTAATAAAATACTTGAGTGGCGACGTAAGACTTAATGCTAAAATTACATATATTTATTATACTACTAGTAGGAGAGAGGCACATATCACTACACGATGAATGATTTTAATAACGGTTACTTTTATATTTGTTTTATAATAAAAATAATGATTAAAATGCCAAAAGTGCATTTAATTTTTTATATAATATTGAATATTATCATAATGCTCACAATTAACTAAACATTGGGTAAAAATATCGATATCTTTAACTATACACATATAGTATCGATAAGATATTTATCGATATATTTTTCCATTTGCCCTACCGCAGAGCTCGGCGGCGGCGGGCGCGCTGCTGCCGCTGCCGCGCCTGCCCGCCGACAACGCCACGTACGCGCTGCACGTGGAGTGCACGCTCTCCAAGCTCACGCACACCTTCGAGGAGCCGGTCTTCTATTTCAATTCCGATGGGAAGTTTAAGAGCTTCGATGTGGATTTTGTTATCAAGGTTGGTCACTTATCCAGAACACATGTATATTGTTCACATGTATATCACATGTTCACATGTATATTCTGCCAGTAAAAATCCTGTCAAAATCAGTCCAGCTATTTTGGAGATTAGCCGAAACAAAGAGACAGATAGACCGACATTTTTTTTAAATCGTGTTTTTTAGTACTATATATAATTTCATATGTAATATGCATTTAGTAAAAAGCTGTTATTTTAAAATTACAAACAGATACTTCAATTTTATTTATCCTGTACAGATTTAAACCGTCACGACACATTTTTATTTACTAAGAGCACCATATGTGGCGTCGTCACAAGTACCAGGCGAGCATAAATGTTAAGGAGTTCGTATCTACAACTTTTCACGGGACCCTACATACATATGTAAGGGACACTCCTTGAGGTTTATGGTCCCCTAGTACTCGTGACAATTATTGTCATCAGATATTATGAGCTAAGGGCAGCCCTTAACGTGACGTCAACATAAGTACCAGGCGAGCTAAATACCACAGATGAGTAAAATGTTGTCACTCCCCCCTCTCCCCCGCAGGTGAAGTCGTCGGAGCAGGAGCTGCGGCAGAGCTCGGTGCTGGTGCTGCCGGCGCTGGGCGCGCTGGCGCTGCTGTACTGGCAGCGCCGCCGCCTGCCCGCGCTGCCCGCGCTGCCCCGCCCCGACCTCGTGCGCCGGCCGCGCGGCAAGAAGGCGCAATGAGCACCGCCTCCCCCCACCTTCCCCTTTACACCTATCCCCCATCTCCCATTTGTACTCGTCCCCCCACCTCTCCTTCATATTTCTTCCCTCCCCGCCTTCATAGCTCTACTCTCTCCGTTATAGCTCTTCCGTTCACCCCTTCATAGTTTCACTTTCCCGCTCTTTATACCTCAGCCCTCAATTAACCCTTCATAGCTCTATCCTCCGCCCCTTTATAGAATCCCCCACTACCTCGTTTGTTATACATTTCATATATCACTCCCCTAGTCCCCCCTCCTCTTCCCCTTCATTTCTGTATATCGGACTAACTCGTACAGCTCGATACAGTTATAATACCAAGTCCTTACTATAGCATAATTTACAAATTCTATTATTTCTGAAATATTTGGGGATTTTGGAACAAATTTGCAAAAGTAATATATTCTTTATCTGTTGCTCTTTATCACGTGTAATGAGACAATGTGTGATGTTTTCTTTTATGACATCCAATATTATATTTTCATAAAACACATAAATCTAATTTAAATGTTGAATCGACATAAAATGCTTATCCTTAAGAGCCAGTTCCGATCAAATAAATACTACACGTACTACGTTTGTTCATATCTAAACAAGTGATCAATACTTATACCACCGATCAAAAAACTACTAGATACACAATCAGCAATAAAAAATGTTCTCAGCTAATGAGCGCTCATTTGAACAGTTTATCGCGGTTTTAATTATTTTTTTCTTGTAAAAAGAACTAAAAATTATTGCATTTAAGGTTCAATTTACATTTTTGTATATTTATTTCAACTGGAATAATTACCTAAACACAGGTGACAGTTTTAAAAGAACTTGTGCATGGAATTGTGGAGTGGCAGGCGTGTAAATAGCCGTGCCCTCTTTGCGGTGTGGGAACAAAAATTACGGTCCAGCGCGTGGAGACGCGTGGACCCAACACTGTCCTTAAAAAACCCCTAAAAACGTATCTGGCGGATGATGTAATAGCTCACAACTATGCGGGATAAAAGCAAGTCGCTTACCTGGTGCAGCTCGCTGGTCTTCTTGGTGGCCACCTCACTAGCACTTTCACCGTGGATAAGTTTTGCGTTAGGAGAACAATAGGAGTAGGCTTAAGTTCATAATAAGATAATAAGTCGGGGAGAAGCGCCCGCCGTGTCAGTGCGGGCCTTATATATGATACTAGCGGACCCGACAGACGTTGTCCTGTCTACACGTCATTAATTTGAAAATTTCAAACTTTTTTTAATAAATTTTTTGATGAAAATTATTATTCAAATTGTGAATCTAAACCATTCCTAGATCCCCTTGAACACACACAAAAAATGTAATCAAAATCGGTCCAGTCGTTTGAGAGAAGTTCAGTGACATACACACTCACAGAAGAATTATATATATAAAGATGAGCCGCGCGTGTCGGTACAACAGCGAGTAGCGCCCTCTGCGGGATTGCGACTGCAGACCGCAAGTCGAATGCTGTAGGTCATCCTTACCAAAAACATTAAAAAAGACAATCCAAGGCTAGTGCTTGCCGCACTAAATTGTGTATATAGTACTTTTTTGATCGACGATCAATATTAATATTTCCCCAGCGCGGGACTCTGCAATCTGTTATCGAAAGCCTTAGCCAATCAAATCAAAATATACTTCATTCAAATAGACTTTTGAATTTTTTGACACACTTTTGAATCGTCACTTTTTACCATTTCAAAATTTAAATTAAATGTCAGTATGTAAGTCTGTGATGGCGACTATCTTTAACAAATATTAGAGTTATTAATGCTAGTAATTTTGACATTGATATTTTTAATGTATACAGAGAATAGTTATACAATCAAAATAGTTTTGTTGTTATTGTACAAGTTTGAAATTCAAATATTATTTTATTATTAAAAAAACATCGATTTGTTGCCAGTTTTAAATAATAATAATGATCTATACTATAGCTGTCCTTATATGGAGTAACATTATGTTTAACCTGCAATAGTAGTGGTAATTGATATATATAATATTATATAAGTAAAATTTAGAAATGTTTACTTCGACAAACGTGATATTTATTATGATTTTTGCTTTCTTTGTTGGGTTTTCGATATTTCAGCAATTTTGTAAGCACCGTGTTTTTGTAGGTAAAAAAAATCAATATTTAAAATTATACATATTATAAGTGACCATGAAAACTTGAAGACTTATAACTACGCCCCAGTTTATAATTTTGTATTTGTTTAAATCTTCACAAACATTTTGTATGCATAATATTTGCAATATTCAATTTGAAGAACTGAGGCAAAATTTATTTTGTTAATTTATATTAAATTAAATTATAAAAAAAACATTTAACTAAATTTATCATAATATGTCAAAGATTATTTTAATTCAGCATTCCGTTCGTATATTTTATACAAATAAATTAATAATTTATTTATCTTTAAATATTCGTTGATCAAATTATTTATTTTTAACCGAATTATAAAATGAATTAAAAATATTGTTAATTTAAAGTATTTAATGGGTTGTTCTTTTTTTTTAATCGTGTAAATGGAAAGTATTCCTTAGATTTAAGAGTAAGGGTGAAATAAATGGAGTGTGAAATGAGTTGTTTTATTTTTTCTCGCTCTTTTGACCAGCTCTCGCTTCGCTTTGGCCGCGACTCTCTCTATAGCAATAAGCACTTTTTTCTAACGTTTTAACAGACTTTAAAAGGGAGGACGCGTTACTATACTCCATTACACACTACTTTTGTGGACTTGCTAACGCAATATCTTAGTCTTATCAAGCCTAAGAATCGAAAATCTATATTTTTAATGAATAGGTTATATTTGAAATTTCAAACCTGTATTTTTTACCCTTAAAACAGAATAATTACTTTGTGTTTTTGAAATCGGTTTAACTTAAGTTAAAAACTAATTTAACTTTTTAAATTATCGCGTTTCATAATTATACAATAATTACACTATGGGACTTAACGCGTGCATTCGTAAGTGGCTAGATGCGGGCAGACCACGACGTGACCACGGCTGGTGCAACCCAGTCGAAACGTCGGGAACAAGGTATATAGCCACTTACGAATTCACGCGTTAAGTCCCGTAGTCTAATTATTGTATAAAAACTGTATTCTATCGTAATCATTTTTTTTTCATGGTGTGAAGCAGAAGTACGGTTTTTTTTCACACACATTATTTAGAACACATGAATTAGAGACATTCGTTCATGATACCTATATATTGTGGATGTATATGTGGACAGAGTATGAGAAAGCATTACTTGCATTATAAAGGATATATAAATATTAATACTATACTAAAATATATGAAAAATATATTTTCTTTCATATTTTATAATAACAAACAAATTTTCCCTGTTTTCTCACATCATACATGTCTAATTTATAAATAGAATAAATAATTATAATCTACATTTAGAGTTTACGGTTTGATTAGATTATCTGTAGCAGCTGTATCTTTCATTGCATTCAGCCAGAGAGCGCGCGCGATGGTCCCATAGATGAGCGTTTTCTTTGCTGTTGGAGATAATAAAAAAATATAATATGATAATGTACTTTAATTTTTGATACATACTTAAATATACTTAATTACAACATGATTATTTAAGTATTATTTTAACAGAAAAAGACAAAAATCAGTATGCTATTATAAATATTCCAGTGGGGATCGAATTGCCTATAAATGTATAATTTGTGGAAAATGCCATGGAACGAGTGTCTTTTTCATCATTGAACCCTTAAAACTTATAAATATACCGTATAATTAGGTATATATAAATAAATTAATAAAATATACAAACTTTTTCAACATGATTTGCATTATAAGATACCTATTACGCGATGTTAGAAAACCTGCGTTCGGGAAGTGTGGAGGATTATGGCTATTGCCTATTGGCTTGATTTCCCGCATTGAAGGGAAGCCCGTATTCATCCGTGGGACGTTTAAAGGACTGAATATATATTAATATGGATTATAATTGCGAAAATAACTAAGTACCTCAATAGACAAACATACAAACATGTCTGTCTGTCTGTTACCTTTTCACGCTTTAACTACCTACTGAAAAGATTTCGATTAAATTTTGCAATTTACCAAGAGGGCGAAGCCGCGGAAAAGAAATAATAATAAATTATTATAATATGACATAGACAAATATAGTTAATAATAAGAAATTCGTATTTTTAATATATGTTGCAAAAAAAACTTACTTCACGAAGTAAAGTTCGAAAGCTGCGAAGAAGTTCGTGTTGGACCTGGCGTGTAGTCTGCACAGACGTAACTTTTGACACTCTTCTTCTGGACTGTAAACAAAACAAACACAACATATTTAAAAACAACAGCTTTTTTTGTTTTGGCTTATTTGAGAAAGTATCGTTCGGAACTACATTACATTACTAAGTAAATCTCGAATGATCATAATAATATTATAATTTTGGATTTTATATTCAGATTTTCGAACTTTTAATCAACAACAAGAACCTAGTGTATAAGAATATACTTGTACCACATACACATTTAAAAAAATATTTGTAGGTAATGAATGCCATTGTAAAAGTAAAAAAAAATAAAACGTGTTTATTAGAAATTATTTCACATAAAATATGATACAGAAAAAAAATATTATCTACTGAAAAAATAAGAGTTTGAAAAAAGTTAATAAGACTTCTAAAACTAAAATAATTTTGTAAACTGTTACGATTAAAATATATTATATTTTTTTTAATTTGGATTACCTCCTCTTAGATCTAATTTTGGTAAGTTCATTATTTGAAAATGCGCCAATTGATAACGACGGGTTTATTATTATAAACCTTTTAGTTAGTTCGTGCACGGGGTTGTCTTCAATTGAATCTGAAAAGGTGACATGTTAAAACTATTTCTTTAATTTCTAAAAAAAATATTATATGTTATTAAATTATCAATAATATTGAACATTTAAAAATATTTTCATTTAACGTAAATTCTTATAATATAAATGAGCAATTCTTGTATAATTATTTCGTGTATCTATCTCAGAAACGGCGCTAACGATTTGCATCAAATTTCGTATTTAGATAAGGTTTGCTTTTTAAGTTTATTTATACAGGATCGCATTTTTCACAAAAAAAATTGGATACCTTCTGAAAGAGCGCCTACGACGAGCGAAACTCGCCCAGGTGCTATTATTGAAGCTTGTAAATTTTGAAGCCATAAACAAGAAAATCGAATTGAATTGAATTTCGAATTATTTATAGACAAATTTATGAAAATAATTTATTTTATTCAATAGTTTCATAATCAATTTTGATTACCTAATTGAATATGAAATTATTCACTTACCAATTGGAATATCTAGCGGCTTACTTTGAACTACACAAACCACAAAAGCTAATACGAAAATTGTAGCGTACATTTTTTAAAATTTGAAGCACAGTTAAAATTTATTATCAATCTTTGTTAAATGTGATGAAATTGTAAAGTCTGTATATATATAGGTACAGCATGGAGACCCCCCCCACCAGATCTAACGGACGTAAGAGTGACGCGTTTCGCGCTCTAAAATAAATGTGTAAATGTACAATATTAATATTAACATGTAGAGATTGTTTAATTAGCGTATTAGTAGGGTTTCTGTTTGCTTTGTGTAAGGTGTCATTTTTATTGATCTAAAATTATTCGATAGGTAATTATAAATAATACCTTCACGTGATATCTCATATGATTAATAAAAAAATTAAAATAAATACATATCTTTTTTCAAATTTGTGCAAATTTAATTACCACGAAAATATCAAAAAAATGAATAAATAATAGCTTTCGTCTAATGCTTTATGTGTAAATTTTACGCATAAGACAAAAAATCTATACTAAAATTATAGAGGTAAAGGGTCGTGAGTTTGTGAGTTTTTATCCCGGAAGGTGAAAATGGGGATGAAAGTTTGTATGGGGAATCAGTCGCTAGTTTATAATTTTAATAAGAAAAAGGCAGTGGTAGCCCAGGGGTAAAGTGCTCGATTGGGAACCGAGTGAAACGGGTTCAAATGCCGTATCTCGCACGTCTGATATTTTCATGTGCGAATTATTTCCAACATGATTAACACTTGTCTTACGGTGGAGGAAAACATCGTGAGGAAATCTGTATGTCTGAGAGAATTTAGTAAGTTTTCAACAGTGGAGCGTTAAAAATGGCTGAATACACGAAAAACATATTTAAATATTTAATTATTTTCAGCTCGCAGCCTTAGAAATTTTGTTACATTACTCATACCCATTCTGTACTGTTAATAATATATTTTTATATATTTATAGTGTATTTACTTTTTAAGGAAGTTATTTTTTATTAAAAAGATACAGATTTTGCTTCACTTTAATGTTTTTAGCTTTTAAACCTGCAGCAATTAATGGCAAGTGGGATGCTACGCTATGTACCCACATAAAATTGTGAAAGAGCGTGAAAAAATAATTATATAAATATATTTATAATATGTATGTATTTAAAGTCATATATGTGTAATGTATTAACTATCTGGTATCCATAAAACAAGCCTCGTAGCTTACCATGGAACTAGATCATAGATGGTGCTGTGTGATAATGTCCCAACATATTTATTTATTTATTATTTATATTATATTTGATTATTTCTAGTGTTTTAACGATCAATATTGGAAAATAAAAGACACTCTCGAGGTGTATTAAATAAATATACATCAAGATATCGCGTAGCATAATAATGTAAGTAATTACTCCTTTTTTGAAGTCGGTCATCAATTACCTCATATTTGTGTTTGCACAAATTCAAAATGACATATAATTTTTTTCTGTCTGTTTACTCACGCATCACTTAAAAACAACTGGAAACAGGAAATGGGCGTGATATTATTGGCCTGATGGCCAGTTAATTTATTTATTTGTATAGAATGGAGTACAAAAAGATTTTTAGCATTTTTAGCGTTAAAATGATCACTCAATCTAACCACTATGGTGTACAAACTAATTTTTATAAAAAAAACTGAATTTAAAGACTTAAAGATACTATTTTAGAAACTCTATCAAGGCGCTCTTATAAGTTAGTCAGTTTTGTTTTTAATTTAAACACCCTGGTTATACCGCAATCACTAGTACAAGTAGCTGTCATACCACAGACTAGCTATCCATACAGTCATCTAACGAACAGGTCTAAACCCGGGTGACGTTCCTGACGCTCATACGTACATTTATAAGACAATCGGGAAATGAATTTAATAAAATTATTAATTAAATGAAATTATACAGGTAACTTGCCATGGGATGGCACTATAGCGCTTTTACTTGAAACCCATTTACCATGTATATTGATATTTTTACAACCCTCAAGTTTGTAGGAATTTCTGTTAAGATCAAACTGTATGGACTTTTATGCTGTGGTTAAACTACGTATTGTGTACCTTTTCTCTTACATCTACGCCATTTACGTAAAAAGTTATTTGTGTTTCAATTTGATACTTAGTACCTAGCTATCTAGTAATATTATGAAATGATAATTTTAAAATCAATAATGTATCTGGTAAAAACTGATTTTTGTACAATTTATTTTCATTTATAATGAAGTCATAAATAGCTCGTGATTCTGATTCAATGTTGTGAAAGACGTGTCTTGTTAATTGGTCGTTTGTTGTTACGCTACTCTTGTTTTGTTCTAATTTCTCTTGGGCCTGACTAATGCTAAGAAAGTTATCAAATATTTCCCCATCCCTAGGGAATCTTTTCCTTTCGAAGGAACCCTGACCGTTAGTTTCTTTAAAATTAGTTTAACCGCTCCTCATATTAGAAAGTCTTGTCTTCTTCTTTTGCCTTCTTTTCCCTTAACATATTTCCTTATCATCCTCTCCTACTGCTCATACATGTTCTTTACGCACGAACAGTTCTTTTAAACGGTTGTTTTATCATTTTATATATGGTGCAAATATTCAAATAATATTATATGCTCATAGTAACCTATTCGAAAATTTAATTATAGATATAGTATATGCATGTAATTTATAGATATAGGTACTAGATACATCACGCAGTATATTAATAATAATATATAATTACTTAAACTAAAATTATTTCTTTAAGTCATCTTGTCGAAGCCACGTGTTCGCGGCCATATCTAATTTTAGAACACTCTATTTAAGTTACTAACGATTCGTTTATTTTTCCACTGACATATTTTGTTCTAAATAAGATATTATGATGTTGGCGTGACTAATAATAAAATTTGTTGACAATAATAACATAGTCCAGTCATTATAGTAAGTTCACCTCGGAATTCGAGATACCCAGCTGTAAGTCTGTAAATAGTTGTATATTGACACCCTAAAAGTTGTCTCAAAACCTACATATGGTAGGGTGTAAGCAACTATTAAATTTCAAGGTCAAAGTTCACAAAAATCGGTTCTTTGCGCATTTTTTGGAAATATTTCATTTCCTATGGGTTTTTTGCTATTTGTCTTTATTATCAATATTGTAGAATACAAAATTCTCTACAAATTTTGTTAAAATTTTTTTTTTATACGGTGAACCGTTTTCGAGATAGAGGGCGGAGAGCGCGTGGTCACCGCATCACTTCAGGTCAACCGGTGCCTCCGGTCGAAAACGCGCCATATATAGTTGATGAACTATCAATAAATCAATGATTATAAATATTTGTCAATTTTTATTAACTATAATATTATATTTTATCATTTTCTTCATGCATTAAATCTATTTCTATTCAATAATACTGATAACCGTTTACTAAAATTAAAAAATAATTAAGAGAAAAACAAAAAGCGGGCTTGCAATGCTCTTTAGCTTGTGGCCAATGTAATGGGCAAGCTTGTCTCAATGCTCTACCATATCAGAGCGACATTAACGAAGATGGAACCTTTGAAATCCGAAATCATGGAAGAACTTGAGACAAATGTCGTTGAAGACGATAATGAAGACCAGTTTGAAATTTACCAGCAGCCAGAAGACGACGATGAAGAGGAAGAAGATGATTAAAATTATAAATTGTAGTTTTTGTACCCTTTATTCCATTTTTTTACTTTCAATAAAAAAAAATTATTCAATGATATTTTTTAATAAAAAGATTAATTCATAATTTATTTGTTTTTTTTCATCATGTAAGAAGTTATTAATATTAATTAGGTTAAAATTCAAATATAATTCTTATCAACCGACTTCAAAAAGGAGGAGGTTCTCAATTCGACTGTATTTTTTTTTTTATGTTTGTGACCTCAGAACTTCGTCATTTATTAACCGATTTGGACAATTTTTATTTTGTTTGAGAGTGTATACTTCCAGATTGGTCCCATTTAAATTTCAAAAAAAAATACCACCCCTAAGGGTGGAAAATTAGCTAATAATGAATTTAACCTACTTCTAATTGTCATATTGACTTGAAACTTTGCAAGTGTTTCTATTTCCGTTGATAGTACAGTGGTTCGGTATTGTTGACCTGATCTGATGGTAAGACCAGAAGGTGGATAGGTGGAACTCTTCAACGACTAATAGTAGATACTTTGAGTTTGGGCTTATTTTGTTTGGTTTGACAATCCTAACACTTTAGAATTCTTACTTTGCTACTACTGTCTACACTAAAAAGGGAAAAATAAAAACTTTTTAACAAAAAAATAAAAACCGACTTCAAACAAAAGCACTAAAAAGTAAAAAATAACTGATTGGTAGTTTTCATTTACTATACATACCTAATCAAATATTTTCGAAGTCGGTGTGCTTTGCTTTGTATGGGCTGGCACCAATTTCGAGAATATTTGATTAGGTATGTATTTAATAGGTAGGCTTTATATTAATTACTTAGCCAAAGCACACCGACTTCGAAAATATTTGATTAGGTATGTATAGTAAATGAAAACTACCAATCAGTTATTTTTTACTTTTTAGTGCTTTTGTTTGAAGTCGGTTTTTATTTTTTTGTTAAAAAGTTTTTATATTTTCATTAACAATTCTGCAATTACATGGGCAGGTAAGTGTTGTTAAATAAATTAATACTGAATAAAAAGTGGATAAGTTAGGAAAAAAATGATAAAATATAATATAATAGTTAATAAAAATTGACAAATATTTATAATCATTGATTTATTGATAGTTCATCAACTATATATGGCGCGTTTTCGACCGGAGGCATCGGTTGACCTGAAGTGATGCGGTGACCACGCGCTCTCCGCCCTCTATCTCGAAAACGGTTCACCGTATAAAAAAATTTTTTAAACAAAATTTGTAGAGAATTTTGTATTCTATAATATTGATAATAAAGACAAATAGCAAAAAACCCATAGGAAAAGAAATATTTCCAAAAAATGCGCAAAGAACCGATTTTTGTGAAGTTTGACCTTGAAATTTAATAGTTGCTTACACCCTACCATATGTAGGTTTTGAGACAACTTTTAGGGTGTCAATATACAACTATTTACAGACTTACAGCTGGGTATCTCGAATTCCGAGATTCTTACCTAATTTAAGCTTAAATGACTGGACTAACACTTCTTTACTGAAGTAGGAAGTTAGGAAAAATAGAGGTATTAATCAAATAAATTCACATATTATGAAGATGTGAGTGTTAATGTACAAATTCAAAATATTTTATTTAGCACTAAATTATTACAATCTTTTAACACCAATTTATTCGAATTTCCTACTCGAGAGCATGATACGTATAGTGTATCGTGAGAAAAGCGGTCTATGAGTTTTCTAAAACGTGCGTTGACCTTGTTATGGGGCTCATTAGCGTTCGGCAGTTCAGCCGGGCGCAAAGCCAAGAAACGCACCGTTGGAGCAACCCCACGGTCGTTGTGGTCTGCTTCGGCAGACCTGCCGTCGGGGCGTCGTAGTTGAGTGCGTAAGCGATTTTGCGACGCCCCATTAAGACAGGGGCGGTTTTGTTAGGTTTTAGTGGCTAGTACTGGCTTTTCTTGTCGGCGAGTCCCACATAACCATCTGTATGTCTTTTTTTTTTTTTTTTTTTTTAACGTTGGGAAATGCATTTACGCACGACGTGTGGGACTCACCGGCGTAATACAGCCAGTACTACCCACTAAAACCCAACAAAACCTTCCCCCGTCTTAATGGGGCGTCGCAGGATCGCTTACGCATTCAACTACGACGCCCCGACGGCAGGTCTGCCGAAGCAGACCACCACAACCATGGGGTTGCTCCAAGGTCCACTCTGCTATCAGAGAAGTACCAGGAGCAACCCGCATGGTACACCGCCCCCAGAAGAGGGCCACCTCCCACCGCCCACCGAAGTGGGCAACCTCCCTGTGCGTTTCTTAGCTTCGCTAATACTACTGAGCCCCCCCACCACGACAAGGTGAACGCACGTTGGGGGGGAACCATCTGTATGTCTACAGATGGTATGTGTAAATGCATTTCCCAACATTTAAAAAAAAGGAGTCTTTGAGGTGGATGCCGCAATATTTTACGTTCATACCCACCACAGACCTTGCTTTATATACCCCTACCTACCCATACAAAAAAGGCTTCGAATGGTCCACAACGTTCGATTCGAATATTCTAGAATGTCCCACGATGATTTGGGATGTTCCGAAACCTTCCCAAACATTCCATAACATTCCAGACTGTTCCGGCATGTTCTAGAATGCTCTGGAATGCTCTCGAATGTTCGGGACATTTTTAGAGGTCTTAACCTCTAGCCCTTATATCTTCAAAAGCATGCACTTTAGGTAAAAACGGAAATCTTCTTCATGCATGGGAGACAGAGGGCTACCACACCATATAACTCCCTTGTTCGTACCGGGACTCGTTTCTGAGTTTTGGCGGTACACACATTGTACACATTCTTTTATTATACAATTTACATATTGATTATTTTGGCAGGTACTGACGTAATCTTTCGATGGTCTCTACCGTGTAGGGTAGAGTAGACTACGAATTTGATTTTTTTTGTATTACGCAATCTAAAATTCTTAATAAGACAATACTAGTGACTTGTCGATGCTTCGCTTATTGAAATTCAAATGCGGCTATTTTCCAGCTCTTGTTGTGCTGGTTCTTAGGACAATATAATTGTCTATTAGTGAATAATAAGAGTGTACAAGGTTTATTAATTAACTAGCGACTCACCCTCGCTTCGCTCGGGTTTGTCCCTAGGTTCATTCCCCATATTAACTTTCATCCCTATTTTCACCCCCTTAAGGGATGAATTCCGGGATAAGAAGTACCAAATTTCATGTAAATTGGTTCTGTAGATCCAGGGATTACCCCCTACAACGTCACAAACTACCTCTTTATAATATTAGTATCCATAACCAATATTTATTTCTACAATTTAACACAACCTGAAAGCTTCATACAATCTTATCAGTGTCTGAGTATTGTGCTACGGCGGTATTATAACTATTACTGTTCTTAAAGAAGAGAAGGGTAGCATATTATTAAGCATATACAATTTTGTACATAACAAATCATCAACCAAAAAGGCAAATCTAGCTGGTAAGTTCCTAAATAATATGTACAAATCCGCATTATGACGAGTGAGTATAATGAAATATTTACAGATGTATGACGTACATACGTACATACGGAATATTGTTAATTTGAGTATCACGATTTTTGAAGTGCCCTTAAAACCGTAAAATATTTTACTGCGAAATTCATATCGCTTTCTTAGGACCTTTTGTATTTTTCAGATTAATTATGTTTGTAATTTGTATATACATAATAACAGTTTTATGCGTATTATGAGTTATCGATGGAACGGATAAGTTCTAAATAATTGGTTAAAAACTTATATGCTCTCCTGTTATTTATGTTTAATATCTTTCCATTGATTATTATGGAACCAAGATTTTATCAGGATAAATATCTTTCGCTGTCACAATGGCGATAAGTGATAAGAATAGTTATAGCGATCTAAGCTCACGACTACTGACTAGGTTCGACGCGTTTTGAAGGATTAGTTTAGGTTTGATTTAAGTATGGTAGGTATAGCATAAACACACTAAATTAGGTACTTGATTTATCAATCAATCGATCGATCGATCAATCAAATTGCTATTAAACTACTATTATAATTATTATTAATATCAGGATTTCATAATATTATTATTATTACCTCAGACAAAAAAGTGAAAGAGTAAAATAGAAACAATACCTATATGAAGCCAAAGGATGTTGACAATGTTGGATGAAAAATATCGATCTATTTAATGTTATTTGTGTTCTTCGCGCATGAGTTTTGATCTTTTTTAAAAGAATACGGTACAAATTTACGGTACTTTTACTTTTCTATTTTGCGTTTAATTTCATAAACTATGGTTGTATGCCCTGAATACTTCGGAGATACACAGAATAGTTAAATGGTAAGTATTATATTTCATATAGTAATCAATCCAAATATCCAAGTTATATTTAATTACTACATATTATAAAAGTCCCCCTGCCGCGTCTCAACGCGATTAACTCAAAAACTACCAAACGAAATTTACTAAAATTGCTCGATATTTACCTAAAAATTGGCTGAAATATGTCAATGGTAGTATAATTTGTCAGAAAACAATGCCGACTGAGAGCTAGGTATATGAAAACAATGGATTACGGGATTATTCCCCTTAAAAATCTGAGCGAAGCAAGTGAAATTCACTAGTTTTTTTAATAAATAACATGTAAGTGTAAGGTATTAAATAAATAAGGTGTTCTTTTTAAATAGTATTTATTATGATCATTTTTTAGTATATTATATAGTTGTTTTCTGTTTTGTCAGTTAGAGAAATTCTTGTTGTTATTTCATCACCCACGGCCACCGGTGTTTTTTTCGGTATGGATATGGACACAGATCATACTATACATACTAGAGATAGATTTGCGCAAGCGATTTTAATATTGTGCAACTATAGCGTGTCAAAATATTATATATTGGGATTAATTGAGCATATAAAAAGAGTATTTATATTATAATAGTGTAATAAAACAAATATTTCAATTAATTATAAGTATTATTTTTATCTTCTCTTTTTGCTACTAGATGGCGCTAGCAAACTTTATAAACTGCAATAAAATTTATATATTTAAATTAGAATAACAAAAAGTCAATCAATCAATAATGTTTTCCAAATATAATAATTTGTTAAATATACACTCATGAAGGACAAGAAGGAAACAAAATAATCAAAAACAAATTTAAATAGATGACTTACCCCTCCTCAATAGATGGCGCTAATGATCGTAGATTCTACTTATTGCCAGAACATTCGTGTTTTGTCTGGTCTTGTCTACGAGCTTCTCGACCATAGATTGCGCTGCACCGTGGGGTATATAAGAGCGGAGACGCGACAGCGCTTCAGTCAAACGTAAATAAACAAGCGAGCGTGGTTCTCAAGAAACAAAACAAATAAAAATGTCACTTGTGCCGTATTGGTTGCGTCATTTGCGAAATGTTGCATACAGAGATCCAGTTGTGAAGCTTTTGGAGGATCCCTTTGCAGTTTTTGCCAAGGACCCGTTCTTCCGAGACCCTGCTAAATATATAAGGCAAGTAACAGCGCCATTAGAAAACGAGCATGGTATAGATGGTGTTTATTCCGACTCGGAGATCAAAGTTGACGGTAAGAAGGTCGAAGTACACTTGGATGTGCAGAACTTTACTCCTGAACAGATACAAGTGAAGACTGTTGGTAATGAAATAATGGTGGAAGGGAAGAAAGAGATCAAGCGAGAGGATGGATGGACCAGAAGTCATTTTGAGAGACGGTTCCTCTTACCAGAAGGGTTCCCTCCCGAGAGGGTCGAGTGTCACTTGGATAAAGGAAAGCTAATGCTAGTAGCATTCAGAGCTGAGCCTTTACCGGAGAGGAAGATTCCAATCCAAGAGAAATCTGAATCTGACGGTGACAAGTCTTAAATCTTAATTTAAAAAAATATGATTATTTAATGTGTTTTGGGAAATCTTCAAGCATACTTTATTTTTTTTCAGACTGATTAGCTTAGTTTATGTTATTGTCTTTTAAATAAAAAAATAAATATTCACTTAGTGTGTTTTATTTTCTGAATCTTTTATTTATCCTTATTGGTATATTGTAGAATAATAGATGGTCAGAAACACTAGAAATAATTATTACAATATTATATTTTTAATTTCTATTGCCTTTACTTATCTATTTTTTCATACTAATATTATAAAGAGGTAAAGTTTGTGAGTTCGTAGGATGTTATCTCTAGAACTACTGAACCGATTTAGATGAATTTGGTAAGAAGATAGTTTGAGATCCTGGGAAGGGCACAGGATAGTTTATCCCGGAAATTATCCCTTAAGGGGGTGTAAATGGGGATGAAAGTTTGTAGGGGAATCGAGTGAGGTACCTATCAAAATAAAGTTTTTTAAGAGGCCACCACAAAAATATGTACAACTTAGGTACATATATTTTATATAACTTCAAATGTCTAATTAGCGAAAAGTGAAAAAGTGTAAATAAAAATATATATTACTAGCATTGCCCGCGGCTCCGCTCGCGTTCAGGTGACCAAAAACTAAATTCTTAGGTTTTACAAATTAGTATACTCTTACAATGCTGTTATTGTATTTTTTCTCAGAAATGAGATATTTTCCCGCGGTAAAAAGTATCCTATATGTTGACGGTTGACCCGGATAACCTCTCTCTCGGAAATCATCATACTAAATTTCATCAAAATCTGTCCAGTGGTTTTCTCGTGATGCGGTAGCAGACAGACAGACAGACAGACAAAAATTCTAAAAACTATAAATTCGGACTCTGTATCTATAATAATGTCTATTTCAATAAGATTTTCCAAAAAATATTTACTGTACAGATTCGACTTAGTTACAATTTTATTATATGTATAGATAAAAATAAAAAAAAACCCGACTGCATAAAGGCTAATTGAAAAGATAAAAACAAGTTGACGAAGGAATAAAGTATGCACATATATAATTGAGGGGGGTCATTAACGCAATAGAAGCCAAAACGATGATTTGTGCGTGCGTTTGTGCGCGCAAATCTCAGAAATTGCTTAACTGATTTGAGTGGGGTTTCCACAAATATACCTACTGTAGTAAGTTTCATTTAAAATTTAGTATTTGTTTTATTTCAAACGGCTTATAAATAAAAATATAATGTGAATTTAAAGAATCTTCTAGGAAAAAATATTTTTTTCTTTTAAATGGGTGTATATTGAACCGTAATAAGTAGTTACTTGGTGTTATTTGACAGCAGAATTTCATAAATATATTTTAGTATATGACGAGAAAATTATTAAATATTAATAGAAATCATTTAGTAGAAAGTATAAACCTTTTTTCTTTGAAATAGAACAAACAGAGCTAGTATTACAAGTGTTTTGTACATTGCTTGAAATACAAATTATAAATTTCAGAAAAAATATCTATATTTACACTGAAAGCTCCAATGCACAAATTGGTACACCGCAAACAGTGAAGCAGTGAAGCTGTAACTCTTTCCGCTCGCAAAAAAAAAAATATGCATTTATTTGAAACGTTCTTTCAATCTCGCCCTAATTTAATCGATAAATTATTTGACGTTTCAATTGCCAGCCTCATTCAAATCAACACTCAAGTGATTTCATTAGACTAATGTACAAAAATAATACATATACCTAGTGTGCTAATTTTAACTTACTGTTGAGATGCAACATGTTTCTAACGCCATATTAATATATACAAGGAATTTATAACGAAATCGAAATTATATATGTATAGTGCATGTGTTTCCTAGGGACTCCAAAACGGCTGGAGCGATTTTGATGAAATTTTCAGGCAATCGTCAGATTAGCCCAGCGAGTGATCTTTTGAAGCTTGATAGTGATCGAAATTTTGAACACGGACGAAGTTGCGGGTATTGCTGGTGTTAAATATTATTTAAAGATTGTAATTATGTTTTAGAAATTATTGTGCTAATTCAACAGTTTCTATAATTCCTGTCTGTCTATCTATTTAACGGAGCATCTTTCGAGGCTTTCTTATTATTATTTCTGAATGAATTTCAATCGGTATTTTTATACCTATGTATAATGCTGGTAGAGTGAATTGAAAACTTGGTATTTCTTTCAGTCGAGTAGATCTAAAGATACATTTTCGATCTACGCCCTCTCATGACTTGGAAACTGTTTTGTTATATCTATTTGATGTACAGACTTTTTTATTACGAGTATTTGTGTTTATTGTATTAAACTAGCGACTCACCCTCGCTTGATTCCCCATACAAACTTTCACCCCAATTTTTACACCTTCAAGGGATGATTTCCGGGATAAAAAGTATCTTATATCCTTCTCAGGGTCTCAAACTATCTTCTTACCAAATTTCATCTAAATCGGTTCAGTAGTTCCAGAGATTACACCCTACAACCTCACAAACTTTACCTCTTTATAATATTAGTATAGATTATAATATAATTTACCCTAATTACCCCCTAATTACCTTATATTCTTGAATAATAATATGAGACATCAAACGCTTACTTTGTAAATTAATTAACTTCGAGACGTCCAATTTTCGAGAGATAATTGATCACAAACACACACGACTAAAATTAGCGCTACACCAGGCCTTTGATAAATACAGAGGGTAGGGCGCTGTAACTACGCCGTACACACCCTTTCTAACACCCTATTGCAAAAAAGGGTAACATGATATCGTACATTATAATTATTATATCATAATAAGGTACAGATGACTTTAATCATTATATTCTCATTGAATGAGATATATTAAAAATCATCCATCCACCATATGGTTATCCAAAATAATCCAAAAAGTAGAATCAGTTTTTTTTCGAGTTGTTTGGAAGTCACCACAATGTTCCACAATATTGTGTTTCTTTTTAGTCTAGAAGCCTAGAATAGTGTATATATTTTTTATTTGTGTGATGTCATAGGAGCCATAGCACCGACTATTGTCGTGTCAAGTAAGCTTAGACAAAAATAGCGGAAATAAGTGTTCAAATGGAATAATAACTATCGATGAGAGGGTCATAACAAAATATTAATAAAATCGTTTTTTTTTTTAATTTTACAACAACAATTTTTTTAATGTTATAGAATTATTTTAAAACTTTATTCTAATTTATAGTTATTTATCCCATATTATAGTTTTGCACTCAATCTACAGTATTACATAGAGATTTGTTTGTTGTTTGCAGGAAAAGTCTCTAGATTTTTATACTTCATGTATAGGATTTTTCCATCGACGCACTACACGAGCAGAAAGCTTACGGTTTTAACTTAATTTTAATACGTCTGTCAGATATTCTTTTCTCCGTGGTGTTTAATAAAATAAATATATAACAATAATAAAATAAATATAATCATAAACTAAATAAATCAAACAAACAGTATCATCTAGTTCCATGGTAAGCTAGGCTTGTGCCGTGTATACAAGATAATTAATACACTACACATATACAACTTTAAATACATACATATAATAATACTTGCTGTGCCAGCGGTACTCGAACCCGCACCCGCTGGCACAGCAAGAAGGGTCACTACAAAGTGAGCCAAACGTGTCGTCAAATCCCATAGTTCATATAAAGTGAAATAATATTTAATGGCTAACATCGGAACTGTCGAAATCACGTTTCAGAGGAGACAAATGCCATTTTGATATTATACAATAATAATACAGTAGTAATAATACAGTCTAAAAGTTGCTTTATATGATCATTAAATCGCATACTATGAAAACTTGTTTAAGGTGACGATGATGCATGAAATAGACCCAGATCAAAGGCAAGTGTATCTACCACACTTTGATGAATATGTTCATATTTAATTCTAGCATTCAAAAATTTAAATTTTATTATATTTACTCTCACATAGATATAGTGAAATTTTGAAGTAATTAAAATTCATGATAACTATTGTCAGTAGGTGTTATACTTTGCTGACTACGTTTTTTTAAGTTTTCTGCGGACTTTAGGCGAAAAGCTTTTACTAGACACGTCAGTCAGCTTCGAGCCGCGCGAGCGGGCACCGGCCAGCGGTCGCTTTTCTCGATCAGTATAAAAATAATATTACTGTGAAGTGAGCTCAAATATAATATAATATTTGTTTGGTGTCAAAGGATTGGCCTGCTTTTTATATAGAGAATGTTCATGTACCGGAAATGATGCTGGCTATCTTTTAAACGATTTCAAAATAAGATACTCGATTTATGTGTTTTTATGTTTGTATGTTACGCGATATTCTTTGATATAATTGTGAACTTACATAATTTTTCAATGACTAGGTTATAAGTCATAAAAATTAAAAAAAAAACATTCCACACCTAAAAGTGAAACTTCGAAAGCCCTAGCTAGGTATTTTTTCAAAATTTTATTATGTAATTTTTTTAGTTAAAGTCTTATTTTAAAGAAAATATATGTATATTTTATTATCTACAAAACTACTTCCATTTAATTAAATAAAAAGCATAGAAATGCATATTTCATGGATATCATGTTTTTTTTAATATTTTAGCTGCCAATAATTCTAACAAAGATTCAATTAAGCCTTTTCTAGGTAAATTATAGTGGGATATTTGGAACATTAAGTTTAGTTCTATTTTACATTTAATAATGTAAAGCCATCCTATAATGATCTTATATCAACATATCAAAATAAAAACTATTAAAAAAATTTGTGCGTGTAACCTTTAGATACGCGCGGTTGAAGTAAAACTTCTTTGGCGCTGTGGTAGATACCGTAATTAAATTAAAACAAATCAAAATATGATTATAATAATTATTATTAAATTATTAGTAATAAATATATATTTTTATATATAATAAATGATTATTATAAAAACAAAAATATAAGATTTTTTTAAAGTTATCTATCTATCTGTACTATAATAAAACAGTAGAGGTCGAATGTCTGTACATAGCAAAAAAATGCTAAAAACCGAGCCAGGGGGATGTTTTTTTTTTTTTTTTTTTTTATTGTCGCTCGACAAGATGACTCCATGACGCCTGATGGTAAGCGACAGTGGAATCCAGAATGAGATCCATCGGTTCCGGGACTTGATCTCGATTCCGATCAACCTCACCTTGTCGGCCTGCAAATGTGCTTTTTCACGCTCCGTTTAAACGACCCAGGATTATAGATGACAAATAGAACAAATCCAGTTTTTTTCAAATTTATTGTTTCTCTGTCTGTTTGTTTGTTTGTCTGTTTGTACGGGCTACTCTCCGAATCTATTGGACCGATTTAAATGAAATTTTGCATGGTGGTACCTTATATCCCCGGTCAACATCTTAGATACTTTCATCCCAGAAAATTAAAGAGTTCCCGTGGGATAGTTAAAAAACTATAGTATCTTATACAGCTTATTATACAACAGCTTATGCACCTAATTTAGTAAAATTTATTATTCTGATATCTTACATTGCCGGTCAAACAACAGGTTACTTTTCATCCCGGAAAAATGAACGGTTCCCGTGGTAACTAATAGATCTCTATTAGTGTTTTTGTAGAGGCCAGCTCGAGCGAAGCGAGGGTGAGCCGCTAGTCAATAATAAATTTGACTCTCACTTCCGCCACACTCACTTTTCCAATATATTGACTTACCCTCCATATATTTATAACCTGTAATACAAATTAGTTAAACGTTATCAAAATAAATGCTAGCAGTTTACGACATACGGATATATTTATTAGTTTTGAAGTAAAATTTATTTTTTATATCTGTTTAAAGATTTATGTTGAATCTCGTTCAGATGCCTTATTTATAAAACAATTTTATATGTTTACTTTAAGTATTAAATAAATTTCTGAACCGTAATAAATGTAAGATAGAATCACTATATAGTGAGACAAAGTGTGTTTTGTAAGTCCATTTTAAAAAATTATAAATTAATGTAGAGTTTTATGACTGTGACATAAACTGACTTTTCATTTGCTTTTATTTTTGTTTAATGAGTAAATGCTCTAGTTTCCTCCCCGCTCTTTTAGTGTCGTTCATATAACTAGAGCAAGGAAACCCGTTCAATTTTTAAACCGGTTTTGGTCAGTAACCCCAAATCGAAAGGATTTTCGTTTTAAGGTTTCGGTTACGTTCTTTAACAGGCTAAATCCGGGAGAACTGTTTTTGACGAATTTAGGTTCCATGAACAAAATTAACCGGTTAAAATGAGTTTTTTGTGTTAACATTTGGCGCGTCTTTTCTAATGGTGAATGGCGTAGTTTCTTATTTATGAATGATATAACCGGTTTATTCAGGTATTAAAACTGAAATCCAACCTTTCTAAGATCACCGTTAACCATTATTATTTCGGTTTACTACACCGTTCGTTTTCATTAATTGGTTAAAGAACGAGCGATGAATTAAGCATTACATTACGGAAATAAATCGTTTTTTAGTCGGTTCCGAGTTCTACATATAACTACATGGGTAAAAAAGATTTTTCTTAGTGAAAAAATGTAGAATAACTTAAGTGACACGAAGATTGGCTCAATAAGGAAATACACAAACTAATACCTCTTCAATCTTTAATATTACTATTTACTTCAGAGACTAAAGTTTTTAAAATTTCATTTGTTATTAAGAATAGAGCTTAAAGTTTTTGAAAAATTAATGTATCTCTACTAATCAGTATGTAAAGCTTCTTTGTTTGTTTGATCCTGTTTTCGTGTAGTACGAGAGCAAGGCTCATAGTTAGTTTTGAAAAAATATTTTTGCTTTTTATACACTTATTTAATGAGAAGTAGTATTTGCTATGCGAAGATTGTTAAGGATGGAGCAGTCATTCTATACTTACTACTTCCCATGGTTCAAAAAATCAATATAGGAAACCTACATTTTTGTTGGTCTGAAAGAACCCAGCTAGTTATCCAAAGATATGTGAAGTTCACCATGCAGCAATCGGCCAGCGTGGATGATGGCCCAATCGCTTGAGATATAAAGAAAAACATTTATTGCCATTAAAACATTAAAAATGCAACACAAATCACAATCATTGAAAACCTAACTTAATCTATCGCAAAAGATAGACTAAACTCAGCAGATGCTGCTAAGATCAGACATTATAGAATAGTTCTTCAACAGTTTCATTGAATAAAACTATTTTCTATATACTTTGTAATCCTTTAGTCCCAATTATTATAGAGTAACTAAAAAAATATTACTAAGGTAATCATACAGTGAAATTTACACAAAAATTACTAGTTATTAGTCATTGTGAAAGTAAAAAATATAAGTGCAAAAGTTATAAGGTGTTTGAAAATAAAAACTTGTAAAATGGAAAAATCTGCATCAGGTAAGAAACATAATGCTATAGGTATACATCGATCAAAAAAGTACTAGATACACAATCAGCGACAAAATATGTCCTCACTTAATGAGCGCTCATTTAAACATTTTGATCGCGCTTTGAATAGTTTATTGAAATCAACTTTAAGCATTGCATTTAAGGTTCAATTTACATTGTTGTATACAAATCTATTTTAACCACAATATTTAACTAGACGAAATTGGTGATAGTTTTAAGAGAAATTTTGCAAGGGATTGTGAATCTAGTACTTTTTTATCGATGTCTATATATTATTATTATATCAACCCGTACTTCTAAGGAATTCTTGAAAGACATGTTTGAATTTTTCGTTAAAGATCCTATACTTTTGCAATTAAAATAAAATATAGCTATAATATTAATGGTTTTTGCCTATGGCTTCGTTTATTGTGGTATGTTGATAAAAATTAGTGTTTGTCCAGACCTAGAACCTAAGTGAATTTCTATACAATGAGTCATTATAGCGTAACGCAGTAGCAGACATACATTTATTATATAGGTGTGACGAAGTTACACTTACAGATTTTTTTAGATGTCAAGGTGACTTCTTTTCAAAGATAAGAATCGCTTTGTATGTAGTAGTTTATTACGTTCAATTATTCAGTTCTAAATAAACTAGAATTAGCAAAAATGAGTAATTTATTGGAAAGTTTCACGCTAAACTTGAAAAGGACTTTCCACCTAAATGTCCTTTATATAAAGTTATGATAAAACTTAACCCATATATAGCATTGTTGACATTTATTATCAACATCGACAAAAACGAAATTTGGTTCGAAAGAAGGAATACAATCGTAGTATAGATAACTAGCGACTCACCCTCGATCCGCTCGGGTTCGACTCTAACATTTAGTAAAGATTTCTCAGAGATGAGGTATTTTCTCTCTGAACAGTATCCTATATGTTGACCCGGATAACCAGCTATCATTATACCAAATGTCATCAAAATCTGTCTAGTAGATTTCTTGTGATGCGGTCCAGACAGACAGATAAAAATTCTAAAATTATAGATTCGGCCTCTATATTGATAATAATGTCTATTTCAATAAGATTTTCCAAAAAATATTTAATGTTCAGATTCGACTCAGAATTTTATTATATGTATAGTTTAATAATTGTTTTGAAAGAAATTACAAGTTTTAAAATAGAATATTAATTTACACCATACATTTAAAGTTTCGCACGTCCGTTTTGTGCGTACCCGCGGCCCACCCATCGGCTTATGATTGTACGTTTATTTATCCGTTACCTCATAACTCTGCAACGAAACATTCGCACCTCATTCGGTGAATGCGAATATTAAAAAGTCTATCTGGATTTGCTCAACGGAATTTATTTTTGTTTCAGCTCTTGAAATTAGTCATTCAGAAGCTTTTAAAAGCTTACGTTTGCTCATATTTCTTACAGATGTTAAAAAATTGAAGTGCTTATGTGCTTTTGATGCCTAGAATTACATCAAGAAAGGTCAACAGTTTTTAATAGACAATTTTATAGACAAATCTATGGTCTACGAGTATAGTCGAGAGCTTGATGGATAAAGAATGTCTGAGTATATAAAGTAATTCAGATAGTAATAAACGCTGTGAGGGAACTTCATCCAACACACATTATTTATAAAACTGAGTAGATCAATAAGTTCTTATTTGTATAATATTCTGTCTGCCGATTGAAATGACGATTAAAAAAAAAACATACAGTCGAATTGAGAACCTCCTCCTTTTTGAAGTCGGTTGATAACATAAATCGATCATTTTATTATACTCGTAGTTTAAATCTAAAATAATTTAAATGATAATTTTCAGGTATCGACTTGCTAAAGACCCTGGACAGAGTTTTGATACGAGAGAAATCTAGTTGCAACGACAACACAAAGTACGTCGTCCTCACTGCTGATGGGTCGGTGATGCTGTACGCAAAAGAAGAGTCAGATTTTATCGACAGAATGCTGGGGAAGAGCAGGACATTGGAGTTGAATGTGTTTGATAGCAATGATAAAGAGGTGAGTTGAATAGTTGAATAACCTAATTAACGTTTACTTAAAGAGACCTCCCCCCCAAATGCCTTTTGCACCTTGCAGTGGTAAGGACGCTCAGCAGCATCCGGTAATCCAGCCGGGCGTGAAATAAAAAAACGTACTTGGAAGGTTTGTAGGTGTATAATGTGGGTTGATATTGGAACTTCTCTGTTAGCAGAATGGATCGGGGGAATCCCCCTGGCTATTATGGTCTACCTTGGTAGGCTAGCTATCGGGACGTTTTGCAGTGATGGAGCGCTAAAACGAACAAGATTCCGTTCGGTTTTAGTAGATAGTACTGGTTTTTCGTGCCATGATATTGTAACAGGATATGCAAGGGATCCCACTTAGATAATGAGGCTACTAAGGAGTTTTATTTAGATATTATAAGCTTTTCTATAAAAGTGAATAAGTGAGGTGCTAAAATGCATGTCTTGAGTATTAAAAATGGAAAAGTTTATTTACTTCGTATTATTAATTGAGAAACTTGTGAACCCACTGTAAATATGAGGTCTGACTGTCATTGTCTATTCTAAAGCGCGATGTTTCAATCTCGTGTATGGCAAATGTACCCGAGTAAGTAAACAGATCATAATTACCGTTTGATAAAAACTATGCGCTGACCAGAGATTCAAAATGCATTTTCACGTTAACTTTAATGTAACACTACAAATTTCTTAGGATAGGTCCAAAAAACAAACTTAACAGAACGCTCTATGTATTTCTGAGGATTTTATAACTTACCAGTAAAGATAAGTGTTGTCTTCACCTAAGTTGTTTTAACCTACATATATATTTAAGGCTATATTACTTACTTATTGTTAGCTAAACTCGCTTAATGAAAGGTCAAAAGGCCGTCGCGTGTTGCGCTCGTGTTTATGATACAAATCCGAAACATTATGGTAATTCTAATATTTCATGATATACGGTCAGACTTTATGATGATTTTTTTTGTCTTGGATTAAGTTTGGAGTATATTTATGTAAGCATTACATAAGTAGAGATTTTAGCGCTTGGCTTTATTTTTCCCGCTGCCATGTATGGTATGTAGAGTATATGTATGTCTATTTAGTCTGCATATTATGCTAAAACGGATTTTTTATTAGCTTCACTTGTAACTAATTGTGATTGTAGTATAGATTACGGTCTTTGTGAGAAATCCGGGTAACAATGTTTAATTCAATATCTTAGAGGTTGTGATAGAGTCAGGAGGATAGTGGATTTCTTCTATCTCCTATCCAGAATCTACTATTGAATTTAGGAATAATTGATCATTTCAATTGGTATATTTACAGTACAGTTGGTCAAAACCGTGGAATTTTTATACTTATAATGAGAAAGTTATATAATTCAAAATTATAATCCCATTATTAACCTTATTAATATTATAAATGCGAATGGTTGGATGGATATTTGCTACTCAATCACGCCAGAACGGCTGAACGGATCTTGGTAAAATTTGGCACAGAAATAGATTGTAGTCTAGAAGGGTATACATATAAGATACTTTTAATGTCGGAAAAATGTACGGTTTCCGTGGGATAGATTTGTTTATGTTTGTCACGAATCACGAGGGTAAGTCGCTAGTTTTTTATATCGTGGAGCACGTAAAATGAGCTTATGTTCTCTAGACTTACAATATCGACTCAGATAAATATTTCTTCTCATGTTTGAAATTTACTTAATCAATCGCGAGTGAAGTATCTTTACTAATATTATAATGAGGTAAAATTTGTGAATTTGTGTGTTTGTGAGTTTGTGACGTTGTACGGGGTAATCTCTGGATTTACTGAACCGATTTAGATGAAATTTAGTAAGAAGATAGTTTGAAACCCTGGGAAGGACATAAGATACTTTTATCCCGGAAATCATCCCTTAAGGGGGTTAAATTGGGGTTGAAAGTTGTTATAGGGAATTAAGCTAGGGATGAACCCGAGCGAAGCGAGGGTGAGTCGTTAGCGATTAAATAAACATACAACATTTGACATTTGAAAAATTGTTGACTTGTTTTTAATCTTGTATTTAAATAAAATTAGCGTCCTTAGGGATGAACATCACCATTTACAATACGCGAGAATATTCTGTATTATTGAATACCTACCCTTTTAAAGCCAATAAAAAAAAGAGAAATTACAAATAGTAGAAACAAAATATCTTCAAGCACTACATAAAAATCCCATCAAACGATATTGAAACTGTTGTTTCTGTCATTTTTAGAGAATTCTTGATAGTCTTCATTTGCTTTTCTTGGATATGTAATTTCATCCACTGTGTAGTGCGCTCAGCTTATTTGTTTCATCCAAAGTGCCGATGGATTTCAATATCTCCTTCAACTGTTAGTTAAAGTATTTATATATAATGCAGTCTAATGACTAGTATGTACAGCTGCAGGTCGTGAGGTTATGGGTTCGAGTCCAGGACAAATCCTGCTATTGCATCGGTGAGATTTTCCTGTACGTATAGTTTTCAATTTGATTACATTTTATCAATACAGTGAAGGAATACATCGCCAGGAACTTGTATGTCTGGATGAACTTAACAACATGTCGAGAAACGTATTAAGTCCGCCAACCCGCATCAGCCCGATGCGGCCGTTTCATGTAATTATTACTAAGAAAATAATTACATATTTCCTTGTATTATGGGTAGCCCGTAACCATTTTTAAATATATTTTAGATGGCTTAGACAAGAAAATTAGTTACTCAAATATTGAAGTTGTATTGTATTGTAAATAAAGCTTATAAAACCTCTACAAAACCAACAAAGTAGTATAATTAAATGGTATATTTCATTGTAGGTGATGAAATTCCGTCGTCCCTACACGATCGGTACAGACAAGATGGACGTCTCGCTGAGTGGGCAGGCTGCAGCCATAGTGCGGAAAGAGGTCACATTCTTCAAACCGGTGCTCTCTATCAACGATGTGGATGATCACCCCGTGATTAGGGTGAAAGGGCCTACGTTCATCACTTCCGAGTGTAATTTTGCGGTGAAAAAACTTAATATAAAATATATTCTCTATAAAAATTACTAGGAATTAAAGCTTTTAGGAGATTTAAATAATAACTAGCAATATAAATGTTTTAAAATATATGAGTAATAATTTTTTTTACAAAAAACCACCAATTTCCAAATCATAATGCTGATTATTCCACCTCTTTTTGGGGGGTTTCCACAATAATTGGCGAAGTTATAACGTAACAGGCACACATAAAGTTTCTCCTTTTAAAATCAGTCAGAAGAAGATAAAAACCAATTAACATAAGGTTATACATATATTTGAGATATACTAATTAATAATTTTATTCAAAAACAATAACACGCCGGAAAGGTCGCCAGAGGTACTATTTTTAAGAGTAACTTACTAAATACGTACCCATAGCTCTACATGTAGGTATATGTACGTTTTAGAGATTCTTTAACTCATTTTAAATTAGACAATAAATTGAGGGTTGTCTGACTCCAAAAAAAAAGAGATAGATATTCAAGTGTTTTTGTTTAATGTATAAAGTGACTTTGAATTTTTTCAAAAGCAGTTCAATGTTGGAATATCTAAATAAAACCATCTTTTCGGATTATTTCACAGATTTGTTTTGTTTTTTGGAACCAAAAATTAAAATAAATCCGCGAAATAATCCGAAAAGATAGTTTTGTTTAAAATGTCAAATATTCGCGTAAATCTAAGAAAGAATAATTGGAATATCAAATTAACTTTTAAAGCATCTTTAACAGTATTAGTTTAAAGGTTGACGTACAAAAAACTTAGTGTACTCGTATATATTTTGATCTAAGTCAAATTTTCAGCTCTACTCCATTAGCAAGGAGCCAATGGGCGACATCAACAAGCGATGGAGCGGCAGCCCGGGGTGGACCGCCGACAAGACCACCTTCGCAGTCCGCTTCCCTGTCGACCTCGATGTACGTTACAAAGCGGCCATTATTGGCACTTGCTTTCTCATTGTGAGTATAGCATTAATTAGTTATATCTACAAAGATAGGTAAAACATATATATATATATATATATATATATATATATAGTATATATATATATGTTATATAGAGAAACGTTAAGTAATATAATTTAGTTTTACTTAAAAGGAAATGGCTCTGAAAGAAAATTTTTTCACAACAAAGTATTTATTTTGATATTAGTTGACAAAAATATGAAACACTGTTACTTAACAGGTAAGCACACATTTTAAATACAGATCTGTGAGTGAGAGTAGGGGGACTCTTTAATATTGACGACTTGCAAATTTTGAACTACTGCACATAATATAACCACAGATCATATAATTAGCAATTATAAACTTATATGTTCGAGACTGAATGAAGAATTCTACAGCGTGTAATACTAAAGACTTATCGCTTCGATCAGGTGTGTGTTTGATTAAGGCGTATAGAGCCTTGCAGTAGTTTACCTGCTATTCCAGATCAACATCTAAGAATAAGCGGACAAATAATTAGATTGTTTTGTTTGTTTGTTGAAGATTTTCTCTGAGACTACCTATTCATTAGTAGTCTTCTTCTTCTCCCTGCCCATTTCCCAATCAGTTGGGGTCGGTGCAGTACATTTTCTGTACTGCTGAAAGGATTTGGCAAAATTTTTACGACCGGCCGCCTGCCTGACGTCAACCCTCCTTGGGAATTATTTATACTTCTACTAATGAAGTAGTAATTATTCTTAAAAAATAGATTTTTTTATTCAATGTACAACGTAAGCTGAGTCGCGTCCAAAATTTAATTTACTATAATATACTTATTAGAAAGCGAAGATAGGTAGCACATAAAATTGTAGTAGGAATAATGTATTTCTATCCCTTTTTGTTGTGGGAACGAATCTGTTACACGTGTTACTTATGCTATTATATTCTTTTTTTTTTCAGGACTTCCTATTCTATGATAATTGAAGGGATTATACATGTATGGAAATATACCTAGGTAATATTGGCTGAATATATAAATTTAGTTTATTTATTTACAGTATGTTAAGTTAATGTTATATACAAGATAAGTGGAATAAAACTATTTTCGTGTAATTACTTTAGCTACTTCACGTGTCACAATTTCACAATAAATGTTGATTACTCGAAAGAAATCAATTTGAATCATCGATCAAAAAGTACTAAAAACACAATCCCATGCAAAAGTTCTCTTAAAACTGTCACCAATTGTGTTTAGGTAATTATTCTAGTTGAAATAAATATACAACAATAAAAATTGTACCTTAAATGCAATGCTGAAAGTTATTTTCACAAAAAAAAAATGTGCGCTCAAATGTTCAAATGAGCGCTCATTCAGTTGGGACATTTTTTGTCGCTGATTGTGTATCTAGTACTTTTTTGATTGATGATTTGAATTCATTAAATCCTTCTCTTTTAAAAATATATTAACTATGTATAATAATTTCATGTACCACAAATTTTTGATGAAACTAACGTCCCGCAATGCATTTTGTTTTTTAAATAAGTACAACGCGAAATGTCGCGTGTGTATTAACTGAGTGGACGTGCCTTGTTCTTTGATTTGTGATAGTTTGAGGTTTTCATTACATTAAACTATGGGTTATGTTACACGGTCATGGAAAGTAGTTTTTTTTAATTATAAAACTAGATTTGTAGGGAAAATACGGCCTTACTATATCAAATATGAAATTAAGTTATTACGAGTATAATATTATTTATTTCACGTGAACAAAGAACAAATGAAGCTTATTTTATATTTAGTGAAGCTTAAATATTTATAATAGATATAATCTTTATTATACTTTTTATATATAAAAAAACATTTAGAAATTAATATTAAACAGAAGTAAATAAGTTATTATTTATTATAATGACTATATTCATTTATAATATTCGTAAATACAATTTGAAAAATTCTATTATTATAAAACTACTGATTCACCCTCACTTCGCTCAGGTTCGTGGCATGTGGTGTGTTATAGAATGATTTTTTTTTCAATTTTTTTTTCGTGAATTTTTCCCATGTTTTAATACTTATTCTGTTATTCTGGGTGAAGACAAATCCAACAAGTTATATGTGTTGTAACAAACCCGACTTTGTTTTATATAATATATAGATATTTTAAATATTCAGATATTAGTATGCATCTATAACAAAATATGTTTTGTGATTTGCTTCTTTTTACCATTGATGAGACAGTTTTTACTTTACTACATAGTTATACATCTATAAGTAAGCAATATTATAATAATAATATAATTACTTGCAGTGCCATCTAGTGTCGAGTAGTATGTACTATTTCAATTTAGTAGGGAATGTAACTTTTCCTTAGTTCCGGAATCATTTCATAGATGGCGCGTATAAATAAAAGTTATAATATTTTTTTTGGTATACTTTTTGATTGTAAAAGAAAAATATATTTTAAAATGGAAGTCTATATGATATATATTTTGTTTTTCTTAACTCCCATATTGTTTTATAAATATTAGTAACGTTTTTGTATATGTTTGGAAATAAAATATTTTATAATACATTTCAATTAAACGTTACTATTCCTAGTGGAAAAACATAATAACAAAAAAAAAACAAAAAAAACTGGCGTGTTATTTGATTTTTTTTAAACATTATGTTTGAAACTATTCTCTTTGCTTTCTTAATAATGAGATAATTTGCGATGATTAGAAATTTACGTTCCTTTTGTAGTAGATGTTATAAAAAAATGAAAGAATTTGGAATTTTTAGTTTTTACATTTACAGCAGGGGTCAAGACTATTAGGATACCTTGATATCTAGAAAATGGTAAGTGAAATAAAAAAATACTTTCAAACTTTGATTCCTTAATATTTCTAAGGTACTCTTTAGAAAATTCTAAACCCTAGAGAATAGGTCTGCTTTAAATAAGGTAAGCATCGTCTTAAGTCTTTCACTTGATAAACTAACTGGTATACAAAGTACTTAAAGACCTTCTCTTAAGCTTTCAGCTTTATATTTATTTTGTCGACTACTTAACGATCAAAAAAAGTACTAGTTATGACACCAAACGAGTGCTCATTTGAACATATGAGCGCGCTTTTATTTTTTTTTGTGGAAACAAATTTAAGCATTGCATTTAAGGTTCAATTTACATTGTTGTATATTTATTTCAACTAGAATAAGACTTAAACACAATTGGTGACAGTTTTAAGAGAACTTTTACATGGGATTTTGTATCTAGAACTTTTTTGATCGATGACTTTACTATTTCTCTATCATTATATTTATTTATTTATTTAAAAAAATGTCAAAAATAGTAGCGTATTTTGCAGTTCATGCTACTATTTTCGATTTTCTTTATAGATCGTTTACTATTTTTAAAGAATAAAATAAATTTTATATATGTATTAATTTAGTTTAAATAAATTAGAAAAATATTTTGAATAAAAAATATATGGACCTATTTTGTATTTTTAAGCTTTTTCTCTTGTTAATATTAGCATGTTTAATTTTTTTTCTTTATTATAGTAAAATCCGTTAGTTATTTTTATTTATTAACATTTATTTACTCATTACTCAGTATACTAAGAGGGAATATGCGTGTGATATATTTTTTATAATCTTTGTTGCTCTTGAATTAAGCCTATATCAAAATTTTTAATGTAATTTCTTTTGATTAAGAAAATAATTATTAAAAAGTTCACATACAGTTGGAAATTCAAAGTAGAACGAACTTTCTTATACTAAGTTTTTTGGAGCTGGTTTTTTTTACAATTAAACAATGTAAGCTATTGTGTAAAAAAATAAAAAAATATCACACGTTTCCCTATTGTCATTGGTTTAATGTCTACAATGCATAAAGAGTGGGGAGCGGGTTCCGAGACGGGGCAACAAGATTCAATGCGTCGATCGTCCGTTGCCGGCACATTTACTAGCGTTCTTAAACGCTGACAATGTACAGTATACTATACTGTACATTGTAATTAATAAGTAAATGGAAATATAATTTATGCTTATAGCTAAAATAAAGAATTTTATAATACAAATTCATTTGTTGTCCGCCCCAGTCGTACTTCGTTAAAACCCACATGAACATATACTTTAGTATTAAGTATAGTTACTTAGTATAGTAGTTTAGTTCTATGACACTCCTATATTATTCCTAAGTCTGAAGAGGTTTAACTATATAAAATTATGTTATTTACTTCAGTAGTAGACATAGAAACCTAGTTTTGAACTGAAATGTTCTTAAAGAATTTTTTGATTCAAAGATTTTATTTATTTAAAATTAATTTAATAATTTTATCTGAAAGCAGTAGAAGAAAAATAGGCGTAAATTTTGTTCGTTGTCTTAACGAAATGTATTTTTTTTATGCCAAACTTATTTTTCTTAATTAAAGCACCAATGTCATAGTGTAATCGTATACGGTTATTTATATTGAGGTACTACGAGTAGCGGCTATCCGGATATCAAACTTACAGATTATTCGAGTACAGCGGGCGCTTGTTAGTTGGGAGTCGAAGCAGTCTGTAACTTCCATACATTTCCTAGGTAAGGAAGAAGGTATGGTGTAAGGAAACAACGAGATAGTTCATCAGATGTCCTGTCCAGAGGAATCTGACAATAAAACGTCCAATACTATGATGAAAGAGAAAATATGCACACAACGCATCTAATGGTCAAATGGTCAATAGACTGAGCTAAAATAGAGTTCATCTAATATTGCGTTAATGTGAAACGCAAATAAATAATTTTGTTTTCAATTAACGTGCATTTTCTATTCATTTTTAATTATTCTAATAAAACGAGCTCAGAAGGAATCAAAGAAAAGACAGCAGTTGTCTAATATGTATCTTTTATTCTCATATTTATCCACTTAAACACACTAATCACTTCACTTCACATCACTATTACACACACAATTCACTTATTATTTCACAATGTTAACACCACGACGTTACGCGTAAGAATCCGATTTACTTGTCTAGCAATCACTTTTATACCCTTTTAGTGAATGTAAATTCAAACGTCAAAATCAAAAATGACATAACGGTATCTAAAGTTGACGTTTGAATATACATTCAGCCTACAAAATATTTTATAATTAATCTCTGTAAGTTAGACAATTATTGTGCATGTTACAGTCGGCCATCCTTTAAAGAACGTGTCCTCACGTTCATAGTTTACAATAATAATAACAATAGAAATAAATATACAATCACTATATTCACTAATAATTTCACTAGATCAAGAAAATAGGGTTACTTCCTTCACCACTATTCTCAAATATTATCACTTGGGCGGCGATATCCTACGCCAACTCCTGCCCATATTATATCACTGATCACTAGGACGTGCTTCTCCTTGGGCGGCTAATTCATAAGCCAACTCATGCCCACACGTCATAAAAATCACTGTTTTCACTAATATACAGAAATAAATCTATTTAAAAATAGGTACATAGTTTAATAATCAATATAATTTACATTATAATTAGATCACTACAACATATTCGAAATTAAGTCTTGTTAATTACTATCATTGTCACTACTATCACTAGACACGACAGGGGCACTAAAACTTAACCAAGGCGAAATTTTATCAATAGATACTACATTTTCGTATCTCTTGCCTTTCCTAGTTAGAGGCGTATCTTCTACTACGAATCGATCATTAGGTAATATCTTTTTTATTCTGTATGGACCTTGACATTTGGGTTCTAGTTTCTTGGACTGACCTGAATTTCCAGCTATTGTTCTAATAATTTTTACCAAATCGCCCTCTTTATATTTTCTAGCTGATTTTCTCTTTAAGTCAAATCTGTCTTTATTTTTTTCTTGATTATATTTGATTAAATCTTTTGCTTCTAACCTAATTTTGTCTAAAGAGTCTTTTATAACCCCGTTACCTATATCATCACTAATACTGTTCAAAATGCCCTGAGATGGATTATTTACTTTTCTTCCA